ACGATTGTTGGAACATTACTAATGAAATCAAAACAATTTGAAATTTGTTTGATTGCCGATAAGATAACGCTTGTCCACGACATGGAGCTATTATTAGGTTATTATTAATATATTTTTATCTTACAATACGCTCACATTTGATAACGATCTGGTTTACGTCGCCGACAACAATGTGATGCAACAATAATAATGGTAAAAACAAAAATCCAAATGTACAATTGAAAAGTATAGGTACTTATATTATTCTATTCAATAATGTCATTTCAAAAATTATAAATTAACCGTAAGACAAAAAACGGTATTAATATGGGACGGATTTGAAATTATAGGACAAAATGTGTCCTGAGAGAAGTTTGTCAGGACAACAGGACACAAAGCCGAAATAAAAGACAATCCTGTATTAAACAGAACGTATGGGGTCACCTTATTGTAAAACCAATACATTCCTAGCTCCACTAAAAATCTAAAATTATGTTGTTTTTAGCTTATAGGTAGGTACACGGTACACAATAATAACATGGCATTATTATTTATTGTTATTATTATTATTTACGACACAAGTTAAAAATTCAATACCTTTTTCTTCGCAAAATGCTAAATATGCTACTAATAAGAATAACACTTTGTTTTATGTTTCGAAAAAAACAAATAGTTACGTAACTTTAACGTTTAGTACAGTGTATAATAGATAAGCAAAATACGCAGTTAATATTAAAAAATAAAACATATGTTCGGGGGGGATTTTTGAATAACAACAAAACATTTTCTTTTTTTCTCAATTTCTCATCCCTTAATTATAAATATATTTTTTTTACGAATAGAAACGATTTATGATTGCAAAAAGAAATCAATTGTGACAATTGACTTCTTCCTCTACCACGCCATTTTAAACTTTTCTTACAAAGTATTATTTTCTTTATTGAATCTCGTATATTTTTTGTGCACAACTTAAGTACAATAGTATAAGAAGTAAAAAAAATATTTTTTAAAAAATATCACAAACAAATTACTATTAATGGTTTTGATAAAAAATTGAAATTCAATTTTAAGCAGATTTCATATAATAAAATAATGTAACAGAAAACATAATTATGTTACTAAACATACAATATTATTTATATTAATTTCAATCAATAAGCTGTATATAGGTGCAATTTCAATTTTGTTTTTTTTTGGGGGGGCAGCTTAAAAAAATTCACAATACACTAACCTGTGAAGGGATATGCCCCCTACACCCCCCCCTTGACCTTATTTTAACCAATTTGTAATCATATTACAGAATCTTTATGTCACAAAATACATATTATAATAACTTCATTGTTACTTAGACCTAGGCATCTCAAATTTCAAGTGGAGGGTGTAATTTATAATAACATATCTTTGTTTAGACCCCATTCACTGAATTACAACAATTAAAATAAACTTTTAATCTAATATAGTAAAAACGCGTTATGGCAAATATTATACAGGCTTATCGCCTATTACTGGTATCCCACGTTTAATAAAGATTATCTTATATTATAAAGTAGGTACCTACCTAAATATACATTTAGTGTATACCATCGTTTGATAGCAATAATAAAACATTGTAATAATAATTCCTAATAATTTAGGGTCAAAATTATACATTTATTTCTATATTACCAGCCATAATTTATATTTTATAATTAACATGGTTCTCATAATATATGATACTATGTAAATATAAAGAAAAAAAAATACAAACTGTACACATTTACAATATAATTTAAATGAACTTTAATGTCTTGAATTTTTTAGGAGGGCTACGGCAAAGTTTGGTGGGGCTAAACCACCAAATCCCCGCCCCTCCCCCCCACGATTTGCGCCTATGTAGCTGTACAGTCATAGTTTTAATTTTAAGATAAACACGAATTATGAAAATGGGAACTAGTTTCTTTTTATTTAATTTTTTACAAATTCGCTATAAACAAAATTGGAAAACAAATTCATATCAATATTCTCAATCCATGTGTAAATTATATTGAGACATTTTTGAAGAACAATTGTTTCGAATATTATAAAATATTACATTCAACTATGAACCAATCAGTAGGTATAATTTTATTAGGTCTCAACCAGTGTCGGTCCAGGCTATGGTCCAGGCAACTTAGGGAACGATCAAATCCGAGGATACAACCACTTTTTTTTAGATGATAATTAAAATTTTTTTTAATTATAAAAAATAAAATAGCAGATCCATTGGATTACACGAATTTACACATTTGGACTTTTTACTGTAAAATAAAATACCTGTATAAATATAAAATTGACAATGTTTAACCTAAGCTGCAAAACGTTTGGGAAGAAAAAAAAACTATCTACTACTATTTACTCAGTTAATAAATTTAATATTGTTCTCATATTGATGAAATAACTCCATGATATGGAGTTCACAGTTATGTAAATAAAATCTATCTCACTGATAACCTATGCATAATTTGTAAACAATAATACTAAAACCAAATAATCACTTTAATTTATTAATATTAATTATTTCAGCCTAGTTTACTATCTATGTAAATTATAGATAAACCAAACGCAGATTTTTCCTATACGATAATAATTTAGGTCTATAGTTTACAGAGAAAACGTAATCATGAAAAAATGGCCTATGCTACTTAAGCTTAATTTATATTTAAATTTCAAAATCCTATCTTAAGATGCAACAAAGGTATGCTGGTGAGAAAAGCCGGGTGAATTGGTTCGTGTAAGGAAGGTACATTGGCATACTTGCCGAAACTAAGCCAGGAGCTGTGCGCTCAGATTTAATCACAAAAGCCGAACAATTTTCAAAAGTACCTAATAATGCCTATAGAAATATCCGTAGTCCCGTAACCATGATATTAACGGTCGTAGTATCCCATAAATACGACTGTACTAATCTATAAAATATCAAAACAACCGTGGTAGTCATTTAGAAAAAAGATATTCATGATTGGCACATGAACGGGTACACCAATAATCGACTGATTATAATATTTGTGATTAACATATTTTTATTTTAAAATACTAACTCAAGCGACGGAAACGGGGTTTTTCCTTACCCCGTTTTCGTTTTTTTTTTTTTTTTTGATTGCTTTCAGATAAGAGAAGACTGGAAGTACGTGGCTATGGTTATTGATCGGCTACAGTTGTACCTGTTCTTCATAGTCACCACCGCCGGCACCCTAGGCATACTTATGGATGCCCCTCACATATTCGAGACTGTCGACCAGGACAAAATCATCGAAATCTACGGTGGAAAATAAACATTTAATAACTAAAAAGATTTATAGATGAAAATGCTCAAGTTAGAACTAATTCGCTTCAGAGGAGTTATTTAACATAAAATTAAAATAATAATTTTATTATTAAAAATGTATGCAAAAAAAAAAAAACAGTACTGTAAAAACATCATGTTGTTATATTATTAATATAAAAAAAAAAAAAATGTTACTTATTAATATATTGTGTATATTAATAATTAAAGATGTTTAAGAAAAAAACAAATATTATTAACGTTTTTAGATTAGTTTTGATGTTGGAATAAATAACAGTTCGCGAAAATGTCTCGAACGTCCTCGTACGTATACTGTTTGTGTTGCAAAATATCCTACTAAGGGGTTTTGAATGTGCTCAAATCGTTCATTTTCCACACAACACACAGGGATATGATTTTTCACAGATCCAAACCAAATTTATTTTGTCCCTATTTCGCATCCCATCCCCACAACTTTCACCCCTCCCCCTGGTGTACTGGGATACTGTGAACCGCCCTGTGTATAGTTCTAATGTGCCAAAAACAACGTTGACGTGACAGAAAATAAACGGAATTTTTTTGCTCAAATACGTCACGTATAAAATACAAACAATAATAATAACAGTCCGAAGTTATTGTTTCATAATATTGGTTTTCGGACGACAATAATTATTATAATAAATCGAAAAGAAGAAATCCCTAAACACATAACCCGTCACATTTTTATTTTTTTATAAGTTTTTGGAAATATTTTCTCGTCAAATTAATTAACCTACCTACGTATTAATATTATTATTGTATGAAAATCTTCGCTCAAATATTTTTCACTAATACACTATACTATAGACGATGACGTCCGGGACATATTCGTCGAAATTTTGAACCAACGTTTGATGAATGTACATAACTATTATTGTTATATTTTTTCAGTTTTTTTATTTCTCAATTATTATAAGTATTAGATAGATGTCGTTCGTGCCCGGTTCGCCCAAAATAATTAAATGACGAACAAAGATATTTTGAAAAACAATATCCACACGATAATAAATATGGATCGGGTTCGGAAAGCAGAGCGGGTTAATATTACTGTCCATAGGTTAAATTCAACGCTCGTTTCAAAATGGTCGTATATAACCTACAAATTTATCGATAGCAACTGTTTGCAACTTTCTAGCATAATATAACCTATACATTATAATCAAATTTATATTTAAAAAAATAAAACTAATACCTATCTAATAATCATTTATTGTTATTATTATTTTTTTTTTCTATTATTATTATTATTATTATTTATTATTTATTGTTTATTATTATTATTATTATTATTATTATTATTATAGTGTGCACTAACGGCATACGGCTCACGTTAGTTGTATACTATAGGATTTAGTTTATATTAATTTATTGTTTTATTAAAAAACAAATTTTAAACAATATTTAATTTGTTTTTATTTTTTGTTTTTATTATTATGTAGTGTGTGTTGCAAAATTTTGGTGTACGTACAATTTTGTTACTGCGTTTTAATATATATTATAATAATGTTATACAACCCTCAAAAAGGGAATTTTTTTTTAAGTATTGTATAAAAATAATAAATATAGTTAAGTCATGGAAGATATATACAACACAGCTGTTACAATCATCCGTGTACACAATAATAATTAATTTAACAAAAAAAAAATTAAGAAATTCAGACAATCTCATCCAATTATAAAGTGTTTATGTAATTCTGTTTGTGTTGGCTAGTGTATAAAAACAACAAATGTTCAAAAAAAATCCGTTATTGTGACGCCTTTGTGCGATATTGAAAACGAATCGAACAATTTGAAGGGCGCAAGGGAAAACAGTAGTAGGTAGTCCAGGAAAATTGCACCAAAGCAAAACTTCTCTACAGCTACATGACTACATTTTGTTTTGATCAGTACATTCAATATTTTACCATCAATAATGTAACCTATTCAACTGAAACCTTTTTCACCGAATAGAACTCAGCCTTTGATAATAGTTCTGAAGCACCATTGAATATTGGGTACCATTAGGTAAAAAAATTGTTTCAGTTAGTTAGGTAATATAAATGATGTTAAAATACTGGATGTACTAGTTAAGAATTGAACAAATGGACTAAATACTGCTTTTCTTACACTGGGCCCTTCATTCCAAATAAACACAATTGTTCTTGTTTAAGTGTTTAAGGTTTAAGATGTTGGATAATGTTTTGGCTTAAATTTTTCGTTAATTTATTTTAATTTACTTTGTTTGTAAGTCAAATATAATACCTACATCAAACAAAACTGAAAATAACGAATTATAAAATATGATGTTTTGTTTTGTTTTTTTTTTTCTATCTAGTCGTTTGTTTGTTATTAATTATTATAAATATAATTGTTAAAAAAAAAGTCTGGTATTATAATAAATATTTAGTAGGTATCTGTGCAATAATAAAAGTTCACATTTAGTAACATTTTAATAAACTGTAACTAAAAACTGTTTTTTTTTTTTAAATGTATAATTTATATAGATAGGCTACATTATTCGCATTTTTACAAGTAAAAAATAAACAATGTCTGAACAAAATGTGTTGTGCAACAGAATAAAAATTAAATAACTAAGATAATATTATATATATATATATATGTGTGTGTGAAATATATATTATACATATATATATATATATATATATATACATATATATATATATATATATATATAGTAATATACATTTGTAAACTTTTAAAATAAATTATAGCCAAATAAATTAAACAAATTTATTGCTTGAAGAATTGATTTTTTTTTTTTTTAATATACCTACTTACCTACCTACCTATATAATACATTTATATATATATATATTTGTGCCAACAATTATATATCAATTCATGTATTGCATAAGAAATATTATTTGCCTCTAAAATATATCAATACCTACATAAAAAAAAGTTTTCCTAAAATAATGGGGACGGGTGCAGTCGCTGTTATAGGTGGAAAATTGGGAAGGTAGGATATAGACGGGAATTTAATGTATATCTGTAAGCAACGATTAACTATTGCAAATGAAAAAAACTGATTCTGAGTTCGGTTGATAGTGTTGATTTTTCAACAATATATATGTCATAGTTTGGTGAATATCTACATACATATGCATTAAACATTTTCTTTAATAATATTTGTTTAATATTGCAGATTTTTATTGTTTTTTCCAATTTATTGGGAAAATAAAAAAAAAACCACCCTAAAGTATCTCACCAGTCCGATTTTCTTTCAAAAAAAGTGCTATCATTGAAAATTGAAGCAAAATTCCCGGTAGTAAAGTCGTCTGCAGAAAAATAAAAAAATTAACATCATTGTAAAACCATAGGCTTCTTCGCTTCACTCAGAATCTAAAAAACAAAATTATTTAATTTACACTTAAAGGGAATGTTTCAACTAAAATAACATTTTATTTTTTTTTCATGTAAATAGATAGTTAACCGATTTAAATTAGTGGGCAACCATAATTTTCCCCAAAATACTTGATTTCATTACCATCAAAACTATTTCTAAGCTTAGCTGTATCATTGTTTAAGAATCCTAAATAGTATAAAGATAAAGGAATTGAAGATTATAAAAGTTTTGACAATTTTACTAGTAAAAGGATAATTTTTCTATTTTAATTTACAGTCTCTACAAATATTTTTTGCTGAATTAGAATAAAAAAACATTTAATATAATAAAAGCATTTAATTAATGAAATTTAAGTAATTTCCCCCGTTCTTTCTACATTCAAGAAAGAACTCTTTGTTATTTTACAATTGGAGTAATATTTCTCGTAGAAAACGTAATCCGTAAAAATTAAAAATAAATGAAACCTATCACCGTAAATTTATCAATTTCGTTTTTAGTTTTTTCCCAATTATTATGAAAGTTACTCAAAAAATCAAAAAGAACATACTTCATGAGTAACTAGATAAAAATCAAAAAAGATTTCTTATCATTTTTTTTTTTGTCTTTTAAAGAGAACTTTGGGTTTCAACTTTTGAAATTCTAATTGGGCATTCACTCATATATTTATTGCAAAAATATTCAATTACGGAACTTTAAACATTTTTGTTGGTGCTCCTGTGGTCATAGCACCCAGGATGTGGGCACCTCTTGCACCTCCTATGGACAATCTTGCATATACATGCACAGACCCCATGGGAGGTACAATAACCACCCGGCTATGCCTCTGTTGCCATGAGATTATAGTATTTATGTTCTTTTGTGTTCAATCTTAAGATTGGTTTGCAAGCACTCTCCACTCTTCTCTATTACACATCTTTTTTTTCATTTCCTCATATGAATTACACTTCTGGCCTTTCATTATCTGCAGGATATATTCTAAGTAGTCTACTTCAACAATTTTTCCTCTTTACTAACACTTTGATAAGTATCCATGTATATGTATTAAAATATTATTTAATAACATACAATTTCAGATGACATATTCTTGATTGTAAATTTAGTGGATTTAAAATTGGATTATTACTAAGACTAACTATAATCTATTAATCTATATACTATGGGTAAAAATGTGGCTTGTGGCTTAAACCTTAAATATTCTGAGGGTATTTGATGCAAGGACTTGGATATATGTTCAGTCAGCCATACCCAGATACCCTTAAGTACTATAATATTTTACTATAAATAAAATGTAAAAATCAAAAATAAATATTAAAACAAGATGTATCTAAAATTATACTATTTTAATAGATACATAATATGTATTAATTTTATTTTGCACTAGTATTCATTCAATAAAACAAAATATAAATACACAAATTAAAAATAGTTTTTCAAAAATTTAAATATTTTAAACTTCTAAATAATTAGTTTAGTTATATATATATATGTACATAGTTATGATAATAAAAAAAACATTTTTACTTTCTTATGATAAGGGTTATAAAAAATAATGTATTAAAATCAGTATCTAACTAGAATCAATAATAGTAGTAATAGTAGAAACAGTAGTATGGGACGCATTGAGTTCTTGCTGTTGACGAGCTTTAATCTTAGCTTGTCGCCTTTCTTCAGCCAACATTCGGTTACGCATCATTCTCTGTCTTTGTTCTTCAGTTAGTCCAGTATTCCTAACATTTGGAGTAGATGTTACTGGAAATATATCAACAGTGTTAGCAATTCGATCAAATACATCATCCTGTGTGGGTGGTGCTAGTGGTTCAACTATATCTTCTTCAGTTTGTGTTACAATATCGTCTAGACCCAACCTAATTCGCTTTATTATTACTTTCACATCATTCTTAGAACCCAATTTCTCTAACTTAGCGATGGCATCATCAAATGTGTACTTGGGAAATAATCGATGTGTCCATTGTTCGAGACGATTTATGACAACATTAAGATCTTCTGATTCATGGTGTTTACCTTTCAGTTGAATAGCCTCAAACCATTTTGGAAGTACAGATAACCCACGAGGTCCTCTTAATCTAAAATTAACATAAATAATAGAAAGTCAATTTACATTTTAAAGATACAATGAAAAATTATAAAATACTAATAATAGAAAATTATAATTCTTTTATTAATAACATTTCTAACTAAATATATGTGTTAAGATGGGCTTAGTAATTGGTAACAAATTTCAGATTTTTGGTGGCAATTTTCTTAATTTTTCCACTTTTATACAATTTGAAAATTTATTTTATATTTAAATTACCACCCTAATAATAAGACTTGTTGGGCTTTCCCGCTTATGTACTATTTGACATCCACTTAAGAGGAAGTGGTGCGATTTTTTTTTTATAGAAAAATCTAATGTTTTAGATCGAAAAGCCAGAAAAAACTGTAAGGTTTATAAATGACAAATTTCAATTTTGAAAATTAATTATGATTCTTTATGTTCTTTACTAGGATATGTAGTCATTATTTTTATAATTTTAATTTTCTTTATCAAATGTAAAAATCAAAATACTTTAAGGAGCCTGATGTAAAAAAATTAAAATTGACAAATTTAAGGCATTACTACAATTTCATTATTTTAAATTTTACAGCTTATATTTTCTACCAGAAATATTGCTCTAATAGGAAAGCATCAAGAGATTTCTTTTAATGTCACAACAGCAACCACCATGGCATATGAGTTAGTAAAAAAGAAATGCTGGCAATACTTTCAAAAAAATTATAATGTTGTAAATTTGTAATTTTAATAAACTATTTGTAAATGGCTTTTGGTGGATCACTTATGACACTAGTGTGCTATATATTATGTAGATTACGCAGATTATAGTAGATCGCTTACAACATAGTTACTGATTATTTCATGTTTTATTGAATGGTTTCATAGACTTATGGGGAAATATGTAGATTATTTTAATCTTGATGTATTGAAAATTCTAAACAGGGTTTATGGCCTGCATAAAAATGTGTGTAAAAAAAAAATAGAAGCAACAACACTAATTTAGTCTGGCTTTTAGATCTAAATAGACTAAAATACACCACCATAATTCCCCCTAATAATGGATGAAGCAAATTTTAGTTAATTGGGTAATTTTTAATTTTTACCCCAGCGATACCCATAACCTACACAAGTCATTGAGTAAAAATATTGCATATGGAATTTAAATGGATTTCAGACACATAAAAATTATTTATTATAATATACATTGAATAAAACTAATCATTTCCTGTATCAGTTCATTTAAATATTAAATATAGGTATTTGTAAACAATATAAATACTTAAAAATTTAATTAATACTGTTACCTATCTTGAACACAGTTAATCAAGGAAAATTATGGCCTACTTTCAACACTCAAATACTTAAAATACTTGTTTTTCATATTGTGATCAAACTCAATAATATTGTAGTTTTATAGGTATGTAATAATAATAAAAATAATAAAATAAGTACCAATTTTATTTAATCTTTTTGCAATAAAATAATATTCACCTTTCAGCATTTAATTTAGGCTGAGGTTTTCTCACTCTGACCTTTACAGGAACGGATCTTTTTTCACTTTGTTCTTCATTCTTATTATGTTCCTGCTGCTTTACGTTTTCATCATTGTCTTTGTCTGAATAATAATCCACCAAATTGTCTAAATCATTATCTATATCGTCGAAGTCCTCCATAATCAGTTGGAAAACGTTTATTCAGTATCAAAATTTTCAACGACTGACTTACGACTCACAACTGTGGCAATGTACTTCGTTTAGATTATTTAAAATTTCGTTTAAAATATAGGTACACAACCAATACTTGTTCAAGAAATCCGTTAATGTCTGTAGATAGATATTATCGATTTCTTTTTCATATCAGTCCGTGTTTGGTTTTCCGGGCCTATTTTACGATGATTAATACAAACTATGATAGAAATCCTTATATACTTAATACCATGACAAAATAGATTTTATCATGCTTAATAGTTGGTACTATAAAAGTTGGACAATAACTAACAAACACTCAGTGTAATTTTTAGATCATATATGATGTATATGATCTAAGTTGTAATTGCGAATTGTGATTATCAAATATGATTAAGTGATAACATAACATTCCGTACATAGTGTTACCAATAAATTAAAAACTGTAATCTATATCTATAATCTATTTTATATTATAAATATCAGTAAATATTTTTATTGATTGAAAGTGCAAATAAATATTACAAAAAATATATTTTAAAAATTACAAATAGACTCTAACTTCCCTATTTGAATTTAAAAACTCAAATACCTATACCTACGGCTATTTCATTGGCATTTTGGCGCGTTACACCAAGACACGAATTTTACGATAAGGTAATAAAGAAACGTTTATTTACAACATAAAGACATAATACAAGTGATCGCCAGCAGACGGCTTTTGACGGAGGAAAGGCGAGCACGCAACAATTAAAAACAACATTAGTTAAGAAAAACAATTATACATAATAATTATTCGGAGTCGGACACAATGCTTCGCATACGGCGTCGGTACGGAGAGGTGGTCACGTCGAGACGAGAGGAGCTGTGGACGATGACTGCTGAACGCCGACGACGAGGCGCAGCAGGAAGAAGAAATGTGGCGCGAAACCCGCCACAACATAATATTATATCAATGAGCTAATAAGAATATAGTTGGCAATACCAAACCTTTTATCAATTGAAAACACTGCCTAATAGCACGTGTTTGAAGAGTTTAACCATTTACTCTATGATTTAACCAATGAACTATATAATAACATGTTATCAAGGCTATTAACATGTTCAATAGCTTTAAGATAGCTAAACTGTTATCGTAATTTATCTGTAATCGTTAACTACATGGCTAAATGCAGCAGTTGTGCTTTTGTGTACTAACAAATAGAATATAATAGAAAAACTTTAAAATGAATAAAACGATAACCACTGAGTAAGTAGTGTCAAATGTTAAAATTATGATCTAAATTCAAAATAAATTATAATACATTTCTCAAAACATAATTTTATCTAGCTGTATGCCTAAATTTGTTACCTATTGAAATTATAAAATATAAATGTATTAGTTTTTAAAGCACTGAGCAGAGTAACCACAACCAAACAAATAATGAATAGATAAAATTTTACCTAGTGTAAATAAATTTTTGAATTTTATTAAAAATGTATAAAAATAAATTGAAAACGATATTCTATAACATTGTCTAACTAGATACCTATGTGTGTGTATTTCTATTTTTATTTTTAAATTAAGCAGGCATGCTATTATTTTACTACTATTATGTGTTTTCATAATTTTAAAATTTTAACAGAGATTATACCAAGATTAATGATGAAAGTAAAAAGAAAAGTAATTTGAAGCGCATATGGCAGGACGAAGAAGACCAAACTAGTTCCCAGTAATTAAACCTTTAGTATCAATAAATTATTATAAAAATTAAAGATTTTATTTTGTATCTAATTTAAGTTTTATGTGTTGTATATTATTAAGTATATTTAAACTAACTTGCATGCAATTAATTGGTTTTTAATTATACAGAAAAGAGCACAAAAAACTTTTGCGACAAAAATATGTCGGAATTGTTGGTAAACCAAAATGGGCAAAAATCACTGCAAATCAATCAAATGAAAAAGTATTATCTGATGATGAAGAAGATTTAGATTTACTAAAAGTAATTATTATTTAGATATAATATAGGTAATAAAGCAATATTTTGTTAAAATGTTTTCAATTTTATATTATTTTAGTACAGTGGTAATTTGGCTCGAAATAAAAAAGGTATAAATTTAGCTAAAGGATTAATTGGAATAAAAAAATTACACAATTTAAATTTGTCCTCGTCATCTTGTGGTAAAATTGTGAAATCTTTAGAATTTCATCCATCATCTAGTTTGGCTTTAATTGCTGGGATATCAGGAAGAGCTTCAATTGTTCAAGTATGATTCAAATGTTTGATTTAAAAATATAGTATGTTCCTATAGAAATAAATAAAATTCCAACAGGTTGATGGATTTAACAATGAAAAATTACAATCTGTGAAATTTCAAAAATTTGCTATTGACTGTGCACATTTTACTACAGATGGAAAACAATTTGTTGCTGGTTCAAAAACACAAAAAAATTTTTACTGTTATGATTTATTAGAAGGAAGATCAATGTTTGTTCCCGTTCATCATAATATTGGATTAACTAAAATGGATGTATGATCTAAGTTAATTTTAATTATATTTGTTTTTTATTTTAAACAAGCATGTTTACAGAATTTTTGTATGTCACCTGATGGAAAACTAATAGCTATCTGTGGCAACTTTGGAGAAATTCACCTATTCACTGCTAAAAGCAAAGAATGGATAACTACATTAAAAATGAATGGTGCAGTATATGCCCTATCTTTTACTAGCAATGGAAAGAGAATGTATTCATTTGGAGGTAAATTTATTAAAATCTTTTGAGTTAAAAAATAACTAGTAAGTTTTGTATAACACCAAAAACAATAACTGTTTTAGAGATGTATACTTAATTTTATAATTTCATAAAATATTGTTAAACTTTTGTGGGTATATTTTTTTTCCAACACATTTGATTATCAAATATTGATCTATTAAAATTGTTGAAACTAACTGTCATATTCTTCTCTTTCGCTTTCATTCTGACTATTTTTAGGTCGCCCACAAATATTTAATTAATTATAATAAACTTATGAATGTTATAAATTATGTTTAATAATTTAATTATTCTAGAAAGTGGCGAAATTTATGAATGGGATATGAATAGTCGAACATGTATTAAGAAATTTTTGGATGATGGTTGTCTCCAAGGTACTAGTTTAACAGTGTCACATAATGATCAATATTTAGCTGCAGGCTCGTCATCGGGTGTTGTCAATTTATATAATTTACCGTGTGATATAAATCCAAAACCTGAGAAAACCATTTTAAACTTAGTAACAGGAGTTTCAAAATTAAGTTTTAATAAAAGTTCAGATATTTTAGCTATGGCTTCTAACCAAAAGAATGATGCTATTAAATTGGTAACTATTTACAATTCTCAAAATTATGGTTTCAGTATGTTGTACTATTATCTGTACAATTATATAATTTTTTTTTTCAGCTGCATGTACCATCCAAAACTGTTTTTTCCAACTTTCCCACAACATCTGATAATATTGGAAAAGTTAATTGTATAGATTTTTCACCAAATAGTGGATATCTAGGTGTATCTAATAATAAATCTGAAGCTCTTCTGTACAGGTAAACCATTACAATTTTGTATTAAAAACACAACTAATATCATAAGTATTTTGAAGTATTTTCAGTTTTCTTGATAAATTATATGAATAATAGAATAAATAACTAAACTGTTCGAAAATTGAATATTTTAGTTTCTGAGTGGAGAATAATATGTTATATATCTCGCAAAACATTTTTTTTTTATTGTTATTAGTAAAAATACTTGTAAAACCTCTTTTTTATGTACAATTGTAGCTGATCCTTTTTTTCGATGTGTTGTAAACCATTGAATACGACACTACATTGAAAATTTGTTCTCTATTTTACTTTCAATGTTGGATATAAATGTGATGCAATGTGTTCATAGACAATTTTAATTGCCACCAAATTTTTTCTCTTTTCTCAAAAATTTCATTCTCGAGGCTTTTGAAAGTAATTGCCAAGTAGATGTTACTTTTATTGACTTTGAAAAAGCCTTCGACAGAGTCTAACACAACTTACTATTCCTAACTCTCAGGAAGTCAGGGTTTAGTGATCCGCTATTAGCTTGGTTCAAATTATACTTGTCTGGAAGGTACCAATGGGTGAAAATTAATGAATATAAATCTGAAGTCTCCTATACCTTCAGATGTTCGCAAGGGGGCCACTTGTCACTTCTACTACTCACCTTGTTCATTAACAGTGTCGAGAAGAGTCCCTAATTATAATATTCTAGCATTCGCAGACTACCTAAAAATTTTTTTTCGAATCGGCAATGACTACGACTTTCTTCTGTTACAAAAAGAACTTACCACATTAATCTATTTGTCTTAACATGAATGTTAATAAATTTCAATCAATGTCCTTCACCAGATCTCATGCTTTAATTGACCACACCCACTCGATTAACAATATCAATGTATCATCAATTTAGTTGTAAGGGAGTTAAATAATTTAACCCTTATTCACTTCTCATTTAACTTAATGTTGATCTCTAAAAACAATTTTTTAAATTTCCTGAACATTTTCATTTTATGGAGAAATGACTGATTCATTTAAGTAAGGTTAAACAATATTAATAATACTATGAATACTAAGGAAGAATCACTTACGGAAATCACTGTATGAATGTTTGTTAGTCTTACAGGAAATCTTAACTTTAAGTCTAATCTCAAAATTCTCATTATACCATTGTATCCAATGCAACACATATTTTGATAAATGAAGATGGAAGCTAAACTAAATATCTTTCTAATTTTCAATTTTTGATGATTAAAATTTGATTAACTGAACTTCATTAAATATGTATACTTACAAAAGTTGCACATTCATAGTACGAATAATGTGCTTTTTTAAAAATTATTTCTGAATTTTATATTTCCTTAGTTACGTAGTTACAAATTAAAAAGAGCAGATGATAAAAAAAAATGTATAAAATGTAAATAAACACCAATCAGAATCAGTATTTTATTTGTGTTATGATTTATTTATGTTTATAGTAGCTAATAGATCAATATAACTAATTGGTAAATTAGTTGACAGCTTATTTATAACTATATATTACTAATTTATAACCATACACATAATATTGACACTGATAATAATATTTTTATTTGTTATGTTACAGGTTGACACATTTTGAAAACTTCTAGAACATTTTTCAAACGAATATAAAAAAAAAAAATATTTAAATTAAATAAAAATAAAGTTATTATTTTAAAAACAATATGTTTACAGTAACTTATTAAGTATATTTTAAACTAGCTATATAAGATAAAAAATATTTAAACCATAATAATAAAAGTAAATTAATTAAAAATTGAGGAAAATAAAAATATCTTCCCTAAAAGTTTAAATCTAAGTTAAATTAGTTAACTTATTTATGTTTCATATCTAAACTACTACCAAGCGCACTTTCCCAATGTGAGTTATCCCAGCTAACTGAACCACACATGTTACAAATGTTAAATGTACGGTTTTTGTCGTTAAATATATCTAGTGATAATGGTTTTATCTGAAATTGTAATACAAAAAGAGAATTATTAGTAAGACTTATTTTAAAACATACAAGTGTAGTTGTATATACATTTATCTCGCAATTTTTATTAATATAACCACTCAGTAATTGACTGTATGGCTTGGTTACTGGCACAACAGTAGGTATAGATGAGCGAGTTGAACTAGCCACTACAGATATTGGAGGATTTGTTCCTTCATCTGAGGAATCCTCATCATATTTATACAAATCATTGTCCTCAGCTTCATCTACAGCAGTATATAAAGTATTTCTAAAAGACCTAGGGTTTTTTATACTTTTAATTGCATCAAAAATTTGTTTCATAATTGGATTGCTAACTGTCTCATAACTATTACTGTTGCAAAACTAGAAACATAAAAGTAATTATTAAATAAAGTAAATAAATATATAAATAAAAAATGTATACATAAAAATAAGTAAATCAATGATAAATGTATATTTTACATTTTGACTGTGATATACCTGATGATGAATTTTTAATTCCAAACCGGTTGTTTAATACACTTATCATAATACTCCAGGTAACACATTCATTAATTTATTTATTTACGAATATTAACCATTTTAATAATTATGTTTTTACTTTATTATTTTATCAGTAATTATTAATTTATATTTTGATGAATGGAAATGGTGTATTCTATCCAAAATAAGAATAGTAGTCAATAAAAAATTTAAGAAACAAGCAGCTCTACATTTTTACATTTATATAATTTTTGGGAGTAAAACTACTACCTACTAATGATTATCAAATGGCAACCTATATTAAAAAATACGATAAATAGATTATTGATTTAAATAAATCTTGGTTTTACAATTTTTGGATTTTTCCTTCCATTGATAAGATATGCTTTTAAGTTTAGGTAGGGAGAGAGTAGTGGTAAATTATTAAAATGTATGTCAAGCTTTCAATTTAAGATGTAATTTGTTTTGTTGTAAGATGCAAATTCAATTTTTAACCTTATAATGTCTTTGTGGAGGTTAGAATGTGTAGTATAAATACAACAATATTCAACTTCTAAACTTAAAACAAAAATACAAGTATATTATTGATATAAAGTATTAATTTAAAATAAATAATAATAAGTATTAGGTGATTTATACAGGCCCGGATCATGAACAATCCTACCATCTATTTATAGTATTTTTAATATAAGTTGCTATTTTAAAATCGTAATTAGGTAGTGGCTTTACTTCTAAAAATAAGGATGCCAAAAAATAACACCAATGCAAAATTGTAGAGTTGTTTGTTTCTTTTATCTAACAAAACAATATTCTGAAAAAGTTCATACTTTCTGAGATAATGAGTCTCGATTGATTTGCCTGGTAAACATTTTCTAACCAAAAATATGGTAGGGATATTAATCTTAAAACATCAGTGAAAACAATATATACATGAAAAATAAATTTTAAAAAAAAATATTGAATACAAAATTTAATTTCCTAATCATGTTTTCAAGATTTTTTGTTATAATAAAAACACTTATTTAAGTTTCCAAATTATTTTATATGAATAATTAAATGTTTTATATTTACCTGACAACGGCTATTCAAATCATCTTTTTGTACAACAATTTTAAAGTAATTTAACACTTCTTGAACTTGGTCATCCAAATTATGACTCTGTACACAATAACATTGACCATCACGCAATTTTTCAGCAACCTAAAATCAAATATATTTATCATTATTTTTCATAATTGTTACATTACAATTACATATGTATACATATATATATTTATTTTAAAGTTGAAATTAAAAAAATAAACTAGAATTATATTGGTTGTAGTTTATTTATGAACATTTATAATAACAATTAGTTAAAATTAATTTTTTTATTTTATTTTTGATTTTACCTTAGAAAATACATATCCAAAAGCAATAAAATACAAATTTTTTGTTTCAATTAAATTAATTATATGTTGACTATCATTGATTTTGGATCTCTCGACTGTAGAAGTATCTATACCACATTTTCTTAGACGTTCGGCTAACTTTTCCAGTGTGTTTGGTACCAATAATTTAATATCCCTAACATTAGAAACATGAGTATGAGGCGACTTAAACGCTATATTGGTTGTTTGTACTTTCTGGAATAATAAAATATGGATACGGTATAAGTCTGGAATACATATTAATATATTATGCATATTCCATAGCTTGATAAAAATTAAAATGTTTTTTTTAAATACATGTTTGTGTTTTTTGTTTCTTGGTTTTGGTTTCAAGGTCTCTGATTGATCACTGTTTGATATTTTTTGACATACTTCATCAAACGGAATACCATTGGCTTTGCATTCTGATTTAAACACATTATAAATTTCTAATAGGCAATAAGCATCCAAGGCTGAAATATCAATTAAAAATGTATTTTTAACTTCTATGCACAAAACAATTTTGGCATCCTGTATATGTTAAAATTATGTCCAATATGAATCAAACATTATAACTTATAAAAACAACTAACTATTGATTATTTATATTAAAAATAGAATATTTAGTTTGTCTCTTCCATCATAGAGTATACATACCAGCATATTTAATTTGATTATATCTTAATGGTATTTTTTCCCAATTTGAAAATTGCTCGGTCTTATTTAATGGCTTTCCAAAACACAATTTCACTAAATCTGAAAGACTATGATGGACTAAATCATCATTTGGACCTGGAAGAATAAATTCTATATGAAATAAAAACTTGAAATTTTAACTTAATCACAAATATGTATAAAATCTATAAAAAAGTGTTTAATACTTTAATCTGATACAATTGAAGGAAAGTTGGGAATGTAAGATATATTAGGCTATTTGAATTTATATCTGGTACACAATGACAATTAATAATTGCTGACAAACAACGATTCCAAGTTATTTGGTAAATCATGTTTTTTTTTAAAAAACAGTGATTATTACGAAAAGACAAAATTTGATACCTAAAACCACCTCTGAAATTGATAATCAGAATAAGATATATTATACAAGATATACACAAAAAAATAGCATACTTTATAATAAAAACTCAGAATCTAAAATTGTAGTTATAGTTCAACTTTTTATCTCACATGGCTCTACAACATATGTTAATCAGTAAATTATACCCAATATAAGACTGGGCAAGATAAGAAATAGGTAGTATAGTATTTCGTACTTTGCCCAAAAAAGTTAGGTACTGGCATTGGCAGTTATAATTGAAGTTTAAGAGGAGAGGGAAAGTATAATCGGCAGTATCGGCTCTTTTTTTTTATACTGGCACTATGATTCCTCTATTTTAAATTTTTGAAAAACTAAAATATGAAAAATATTACTAATAATGAATTATTAAGTTTCAACAAAATCTTTAACAAAATTTTTTTTGATAGACAAATTGGTCAATCAATAGATATTATTTAGTAGTAGTAGTGAAAGTAATATAAACAATCTTACATTTCTAAAAATTTTTTTAGAAAATTAACCATACATCATTATTAAATATTTGTAAAACCAATGTTTTGTTCAAAAATGTAAATTTGTTATTTTGTTTTAAAATATAAAAATTACAACACAAAGCACTATTAAATATAACAAAACAAATAAAACTTCAAAAATATTGTAAAGAACAAGTCACTTCAAATCTGTGTGCTGCACCCTATATATGAAAATAAATAAATACATAATACAAAATATAACCTGACATATTATGAGTTGTATTGGTATTTACAATTATTTTTAATTTTTTTTTTTTAGAGCTTTTTACATTAAAATTGTCATGGTTTGAAACAATTGCATCAAATACATGAATTGTTTATAAAAGTAGGAATATAAAATATTATCTTATTAAGTCTAAAAAAGATATAGTATTTTAAATGGAAAATATCTACTAAATTGGAAAAGTATCTTTGTGTAAATAGAAACATTAGCTCTGTTTTATTATATACTTTTTTATATTATAATCTATATGTATTAATATCATCTCTATGTACTTTAAGGTAAAAGTGTAACAGTTAAACTAAATTTAACTACATATTAAGTACTTTGATAAGGCAGCAATAAATTCCACTGGACTTCTAGTTCTTTCCATAACAATTTAATATCAACAAACCCAGGCCCGTTAAGCTGAATATTATCAATTGGCAATGTAGATCTAATCATTGATGCATCACCTTTCCATTCAAAACCTAAATCAAATCAGTATGTTTTTAACTATAAACAATAAGTATATAATTTAAATCTATTAATCAAATGACATGATTCCATTTTAATAATAAAATAAGTGAAAATAATCCACTTCTGTAATTTAATACAGGTTTACTTATATACAATGTGTCCAATGGTGTTCGACGGATTTTTGTTTGCAATTGGTTTGTCTTCAAGGGGACATCAATTTGGAGAAAAATAAAATTTTTATTTTCATCCCCTAAAGACAATAAAAATAACTTTTTATTTATATTTTCAAAATAGCCATTTTGTAAAATATATTATTCAAAAAATTATAAGTTATCACACATTCATATTGAATGAATAATTTCATAGTTATAGCTATTTTATTTAAGCATGAAAACAATTAATATTCAATAAAATAACATGTTATGCCATAAGAAATTAAAATCAAGGCAGTAATTCTTTACCTTCTATTGAATATTAATTACTTTCACTTCTATTTTTTAGAAATTAAAATGGCTATAATTAAGAAACTACAAATCGAATATGAATATATGATATATTAAAATATTTAGAATATTTTTTTACAAAATGGCTATTTTGTTTTTGTTTATGGGATGGAAATAAAAATTTAATTTTACTCCAAATTGATGTCCCCCTTGAAGACAAACCGATAGAAAAAATTTAATATTAACAGTGCTAGAAAAATCCGTAAAATACGGTGAGACACTTAAAAAAGAAAATCTGTATAAAAAAAAAATGTATATGCTTGTACTTGCCTAATTTTAATATATTTATATTACTGAATATGTTCATAGAAAATTCATGCCAATGAAGCTTAAAATGTTCAGCAGGTTGCAATTGTGGTATATGAAATATGTAAATAGAATCAACTGTAGCCAGTTGAATGGAAGCTAAATCACTCTTATTGCGTGTTAATTCTGGTTTCCATTCACAATCCAGACCCAAAACATTTAAATGCGTATCAAACAATTCAACATTAATTTTATCTAAAAATTCATTAAACTTTGATCCACAATCAATTATATGAATTTGTTTTTCAGATAAAGATAATTCATGATACTCTACAGTTGAGTTTTCTTCAAAGGGCAATGATTTCTCTACAGCAGCACTCCTAATAGTTAAGAAAACATACTAAATTATGTTATTTATAATACCTAATAAGAGTATTTTATACATACGCATTTTCACTAAATAATAACTCCTGTTGTATACTTGGTGACAATAAAGAGGAATCAATGGAAAATAAATTAGCAAAATAAATAGCCTCTTGAATGTCACCATATTTGTCTAACATTTGGATGACTTCAAACATCATATCCTTATCATTACCAATTGATTCCATCGCCATTTCTCTCCAACCATCAATACCTTTAAAAGACAATTAAAATAAAAAGTGAATTTTGTTTAAATATAAATAATAGAAACTGTATTTTACCAGTAACACCAGATCGATAACGACGAAACATGAACCTTAGAGCTCCCATTTTCTTTTCTTTGGTAATATGAGGTGCTAACTCGCTAGGGATATTGTATTTTTTCATGATCCTCGATAAATTTGTTTTAATTTGATTTTTATTAGAAAAGTTGTTATTAATTGGTATAATATTTAGACGACTGAAAAAATAGTAAAATTAAATTATTAAATAATGTAAAAAAAAAATTTGAACACGGTGTTGGTCAAATCAATACACAATAAATCAAATAAAATTACATCACAATTTCTAAACATAATCAGAAATGAGATGATTTAAAGAAAAATACAAATTTTAAAATTACTTAACTAAGATTGGTCAAATGTTTTGAGTAATTATAAATTATATTCATACATTGGATATTCATACTTAGCTAAATGATATAAACAATCCTTATCTTCCACTAACAAATTGTCAAAATATTTCACCACAGCCTCTTGTTGAAATTTAGTCGTAACTAAAAATTCCTCTGTCACAGAGACCAAGTTTATAAAATATAATGGAATTAAGAAATCTTCAACAGTAAACTTATTTTGTATATTTAAACTAATCGTAGCATAACATGCCTACAAAATTAAAATTGTATACTTTTTAGTATTGTTAATACTATTAAAATACTTATTATAATTAGAAATCAATAATTTACTTCTTTAAATTGTTTTTGCTTTATTGATTCTCTTATTAATCCTTCCATAATATCTAAACACATATTGCACTTGAAAATTTTAACGATTGTGTTCATTGTTTTTGGACATATTCTTTTGTTAAGTGTCATTTTAAATGCTTCAATTTTTAACTCATCAGTTAGAATATGTTCATAATGTACACTGTCTTTAAATTTGATCCATTTGTAAAATTCATCGGTTACTATAAATCAGTAAAAATGTAAATGTAACACAATCATTAAAACAACAAAAAATGAAAAAAATTAATTTACATACTTGCATGCACCAATGTACTAGCTTTGCCTTTCACTCTATCTTCTGATATGGCATGTATTAATTTCAATAAGGAAACATACGGATTTATACTAGTTTCAAAAATATTTCTCAATGCATCGGTTAAAACTTTACTTCGTTTCCCTAAAAGGTTTTATAATACATAATGTTAAAATATACATTTTTTAAAAACAATAGCCATACTTTTCACTAAAAATGTTTAATTATAAAGGTAATTAAATTGTGAATATAAATTAGTGTGTTGTGATGACTTACATACTTCCCAAATGGTCTTTATATGCATAGAAATGTCATCATCTGACAGAGATTTTTGTGAATGCATTTGATTATTTGTAGGCATACTATTCATACTTCTAGAAAATTGGTCAATAGATTTTCCTTTATTGCTTTCCGTTGAAAATTGAACTAAAAACAAAACAAAGAAAAATCAAATTAAAATGAAAAATTATAAAACTATTATGCTCAGCCAAAATTATCATGACAATGACGGTATTTTTAATTAAACGTTTTTATTATTGTATTACCAGAAGATTTGTTAAGTCCACTTGTTGAACTGTTTGTGTGTAATGGTTTATTTAAGTCATAATTAGACAAATTCATTTGTGCTACACCATGTACTCTCCGTGTGGTGGGTCGTTTATCGGAAGACTCAGTTTTTTTGGTGGAATTGCTTGTCGAAGGATTAAAATTGTCATTCCATCGTTCAGCCATAACAATGATTTGTCCTAAACAACAAAGTGATGAGCACAAAAATTAATATTTGTGAAGACATTTATCACACAAGACAAAGATTTTAAAAATTACCTTGTGTGTTTTAAAACAGAAAAATCAATGTTTTTATCATAATTTGTCTAGAAAACAAATTTAAATGGAACTAGTAATAAGTTTCAACATTAATTTAATAATATATAATGAATTATAATAATAATAATAACAATAATAACATTGTTAATTTAATTCCAAGTCCAATGTTTTATCACAGAGTGATTCTTTAAACTGTGATATTGTGATGAATGAATTTCATTCTGTACCTAAAAAAATAAAAAATAGGTATCATGTTTACGAAACCACAGTAAATAATAATGGCGTCACATAAAATTACCACTGTTATCACTGGTCTCTGCTGAATACATAATGCATACCGTGGACATATCATATACGAATATTTAAAATCAATACAAAATGAATAGGTATGATCACATCAGTACGCGTTCTCGTCCGATGTAGCGCACCACGCCTACGAAGGGCTCGCTGTTCTCATCATTTCATTGGTTGAAATAATTTTTGTCACACATAAAATCATATACATTCTTGTAGTGTGTGAGCGAATGACCTATAAATCTATGGTGATCTACCCATAAATAATATCCTTTATTATCTATGGTGACCTTCCGAGTTATTTGTCATGAGACAAACGTAATAAAAACAAAGTAGTAACAAATATGGAGACATCTCATAATATATTATTTGTAAATACTAAATAATATATTCTAATTTCTGTTAAATTTAAATTAAATTTTGAGTTCATGTAAAAAAAAAACCTGATACTGGGGACAAGTTTGCCATTGTCGTAGGTAGGTAGTTGGAAAGATTAAATACATAGTTACCTAAAGAGGTATTTAATTTATATCTGTAAGCAACAATAAATCATTACTAACGATGAGCTATTGCAATTTGCAGTAAGGGTATTATTTTAACTTTTTGAAAGGTGATCGATGCTCAGTGGTGGATTTAGCGTCAGGCAAAGTAGGCAGTTTCCTAGGGCAGCAATTTTAGGCCAATATTTTATTGAGAATATTAAGTTTTTTTAGATTTTGTAAGGTAATTTTTAATCTTTACAATTGAAGAAAACTGTCTACCTATAATAATAATAATATATAGTAAATAGTAATATAATATTTTCATAATCCAAAACCAAAAGTTAATTGAATTTTTTACACGCGTATCAAATGTTCGTTATTACGCACTACGTGTACAAAAGTAAACATTTTTCTATCCGAAAGATAAAATTATAATAATTGTTTATTTTTCATCGTGACTATAAAATAAAGGGCGGCCGAGTAGAGAATAGATAACTATTACCTATGTATTTATTTTGATTAGACATTCAATTATTTTCAACACAACATTCAAGGCGGATATTCGAATATTACTTAAATTACTAGTATGAGTAAACATTGTAACTTATAAGCAATATATTTTGTTTCATTAGAACAGTTAATGGTATAAATCTAGTTTAGGGCACAAGCTTGTGTTTTAGTTTTTTTTTTCTTCAAAATGTGTTTTTGACTGTACATTAAAAATTTAAAAAAAAATGTCGGACGAACTTCGTTTAGAAGTAACGGGGGAAAACTTCATGAAGTTCGGGTTTTCCGTTTCGCGTATTTCTAAGTGAGAATATAACATTTTCAAAAAGTGTTTTTCAATGCTTAATCTATTGGTATAATCAAAACTTACCCATCATACTTACTTTTGAAGTTATTGTGTATAAACCTTGAAAAATATCATTTTTGGAACTAATACAAAATGTGGTCGAAAATAGATATTTTTTTTATTATTACTATGATTTGTAGTTATTGATATTTTGATAACAAAGTTTTTTTTATTGAAGTCAAAATAAGTCTATCTGGCTTAGTTTTCCCAATTACCTATCCGACGTGGTTTTATACAACAAATCGATGGCTACTTTTGATAAAAATAGTCCGAGCGAGCACAGCGAACGAATGACCTCGTCAGGGTTTTAGGTGCACCCAAAATGCTTCAAAAATAAATATGATAGGTAAGTTTTAATTATACCAATGGATTAAGCATTAAAAAAACACACATCTTGAAAGAAAAAAAAAACATTTGAAAATGTTAAATTCTTACTAAGAAATACGCGAAACGGAAAATCCGAGTTTATGAACATAACAGATAATTATTGTTTAGTAACAGTCTTTATGATATTTTTTTCAGCAATTACGTTAAATAAGTACTTTAACACATGTGTTCTCATTGATAAGTTTGATGGAGTGACAATATAAAATTTTCCTAAGAGCGGCAATTGTGTAAATCCATCTATGCCTATGGTACATACATAGTTACGGGATCGGAAGTCCTCAAGGAGGAAGGCGACCATGTGATCCTAATTCCGAGAATCCGGACTAAGACTCGACCGATCACATCGGATGGGGCCAGTGGTGGATTCAGGGGGAGGAGAGAGCCCACCTTGACAGTGATATTTAAGGCTATGAACTTACAGGAGTTTGCATGTTTTTTAACAATGATTCAAAATTGAAAAAAACATAGCTTAGTGGTATGAAAATTTGTTTCAAGTTACCGCGGGAACTTATAGACGTTTTTTTTTAAATGGATATTTTGTGTAGTCAGCTCTTTTTCACACGTTAATACATAGTTTGACAATATATGAAATGTTATAGCATATTTCACTAAATTAAAGAAAAATATAATTTATCTTTAAAATTGATAAAACAAAACATAGAGATTTGTTATATGCTATAAGTAGATTTATCTTTGAAATTATTAACTGCCAAGATTATTATTTTTATCATCACACGGAGGACATTATGCTACCCTATCTATGAATGATATGAAACAATTCCATGATGTATAGGTAATGTTATCTTTTGTAAGTGCCTGTATATTTTAACATTGTATTTTCCAATTTTTTACTGAAATACGCATATTTTAACAGAGTATTACACAACAGCGACGGTTATTTTGGTCTGTGTTATGAGTCGTATAAAAATACAATTATACAATTTTTTTAATTGAAAAAAATAGACTGGGACAGTAAATTATGTTTGGAATTAATCGAAGAATATCGACTTAATGAAATACTAAAGGACCCAAAAAATCCATCGTATTTTTCCCAAAATTTGAAACACGATGCATACTATTCGAAAAAACTGAATAGAGATTTAGAAGATTTTTATTTTATTTGTATTTATTTCTAATACTAACAGAATAATGTTAAATAGTGTATACATTTTTTATTAATGGTCTATTATAATTAATCAAGTTGTGATTTGTATTTTATTTTGATTGATTTTCTATACTAACAAAACAAATTGTTGAAAAATACATAATAATTTGTTTTGTTTCCTCCTTTTCGTGCGACGGCGGTGGACTGTGGAGATAACGAAAGACAACTTGATGATGAATAGCTGAAATAAAATAGTTTGGATCAGAATTACTAAACGTTATGAGATACTAATTTATTGCCATCTAGTGTTATGACCGATGTTGGTGGCTTTCGGTTTTCATATTACTCCTTTAATATCTGGGATACAGGCAATTCGAATACCATGATATCCATTTCTTATCATAACAGTCCCTGGACTCTGGTCCTCACCTCACAATCGAAATAATTATGCAGGCGCATAAAAATCTAGTTATCCAATTATTTTTATGGATTCAATTTATTATTTAAAATCAAAGAATTTAACCGATTTTTGTCAATAATGGATCTTAAATACGTTTTAATTATTCAATTACTGTGTATTTTTTTACAAGTCCGTGAACAAGTTCACGAAACTTGCACGAAATATATGTGTTTACTGTAGAATTCTTTGTAATGAGTATATATTTATTTTACAATAATATGTCATATATATTATTGAAAAAGTAATATTAAGTATAAACCGAGTTCAGCTCAGAATCGATTTGTGTTCGCAATAATTTATCGTTATATACAGATATAGGTAAATTTAATTTCACTCTATATCCTATCCTATCATTCCAACATCCCACCTAAAACCTAAGTTTACGTGTTTTTTTTTTTTTAGTTCATAATATTCGAAATTACTAGAAAATAATAAAAACATTTTAAAACAATCATTTGAGTAAATTAGAAATGTCCCAAACAAATTATTAAATAAATAATTTTTACCTATTTTAAATTTCGTTATGGTAAAAAGTCTCAAGCTTCCTTGTATTTTTAATAACAGTTTTTCTTTTTTTCTTGTAGCTTTTTGTATTTTGCACAATTTCCTTGATCTATCATCACTCATTATAATGAAACTTGCAATTAAAATAATAAAAAAAGTTGACAAAATAATCGCGCCAAATCTAATAGGTACTACTAACAATTGTATTTCTTAATAAGCACTAAATCCCGAAAATAAAAAAATGGTTAACAATAAAAACGTGTTATTTCCATAAGGCTTTAATAATATTCAAAAATAGTGCCATCACAGATTTATAGCATATTAATTATTATTGTTATTCGTTGATGAAACAATAGAAAAAGTTTTATTAAAATAAAAATTCTAGTTTTCTGGGAACAATATTTTGGTATAATATAATGCCCAATACCCTTTTTATAGGCATATATATTTTTGTTTTTGTTAAGGGCCACATATTATATTTTATAAGTGTTGGCCAATTTTTTTATAAGGAGGTAGGTTAACAGACCTTATAATTTTGCTGCTTTAATCGCCTGCTTGGTCTGCTTATAGGGTAATCAGTCACTGCCAAAAAGGCAAATATGTCTCTGAACTTAGGAATGAGTACAAAAACATATTTAAGTTTAGTGGTAGGTACCTTCTTCACCAACTACCTGTTCAGTGTATCAATACATATTTTTGTTCTCTTCGGTGCCATTGGAAATGAACTTAAATAATAATTTAATCAATTTTAATAAAATAATAATTACAATAACAATCGAAATACAATACCTTTGTTTAAAACTTTATTACTTTCGGTTATTGATTTTCCATTTGTAAAATACTGTATATTACAACCATCAGGCTCTTCTAATAAAAAAAATATGAAATAAAATGTTGAATTATAAAACTAATATGTGATCCTTTCTGAGGGGGGCGAACTGTCAACCCCTTCTCACTCTATATACTTACCTGCTTAATTGCAACCATAGAACATTAAATGCAACCAAATAACTAACATAAAAAAAAAAACAGTGAACTGTTAATCGAAACTGTATCAAAAGTGTATATAATAACATTCTTACAATAAATGTAGTTAATTTATGTGTTAAAAATGATAATACAGTAAGAACTCTGTGAAACCACACAGACTAAAAAGTATATTCACCTAAACTCAGTCCTATTGATATTCAATTGAAATACTTAGAATTTGTGCAAAATGGGGTTGTGTTGGGTCTACAACTAGTGGAAACAAATTATCAAATAGTTTGAGGAATTTTAAATAAGGCTTTAACAAATTGTCCCTTCTTATATATATGCAGGAACAAAAAAGAAAAGAAGCATGTATAACATAAAATTAAATATGGTTGGATAAAATAAAGCATGTGGTATTTTATGAGACAAAAAAATTTCAATGCGACTTAAAGGTCTTAAAGAGAGAAATCAGAAGTAGTAAGCATAGTAATAAAAATAAACGTAGAAGGAAATAGATGAAGAAGAGTTAGTTATAAATAAATATCTATCTACAATGTTCAATTGAAATTTATGAAAACATTAAAAACTAACGAACCCAATTCTAACCTATGGGGCATACCCATAGTATCGAATACATCAGTTTTTTCTCTATATATTATATTAGCTATTATTACAATTATATTATTTTTTATTGTAAATTTAGTGACTGGTTGAAAAAAAAAACTCAAATAACTACTTTATTTAATCCATGTTAAAAATATGACGAGCAACACTTTTAGAAGTGAACAACATGTACATCACTACACACTAAATTCAATACATTTGATGTTAATTTACCGACATATAAATTTAATATTTTATAAATAATTAATCACATTATGATAGGCCATTTTAAGCATCCATTCATACATAAAATAAATTAAACACACATTTCTTAATACTATATTGTACTTTATTTATAATCAAATCTAGGACGCACTGATAAATATTACTATTTTAATAATTGTGTTAAGACTAAAATAATTAAAAACTATTTAAAATGTTGAACAAGATTATATTATTAATGTTAACAATGGTTTTTTTTTATCAATAATAAATTGTAACAATTAACAGTAGTAGATATATTTTAGGAATAAAATGTGCATTATTCTTACAATAAATCTGAAAAACTGGCACACAATTAGATTAGACTGGGAATGTAGCTACTTAATTCAATTCAAAATTCATAATAATAAAATAAAAACAAAACAAGTTATTAAATTAAAATTACGTCAATAGGTATGCTCCTATAAGTTATTTGTATGTACAAAATACAATTAGGAATCCTTCAGTGTTTATAATGTATCAATCATTATATAACATCAACCTTAATCCCAAATATGTGCAGTCTTTAAAACATTTTTAATTTTAACGATGAGTTAAATATAGGTATGGTATTGACACCAAAATATACAGTATAAATTTCCTAAAATTTAAATATACATATATTGTTAGAGTGAAGTGTATGATCGGAGATAATTTGAGATTTAAGACTTTAATGTTAAAAATCTGGAGTTTAATATTAATTATATATTTGCTTAAATTTTTATAAATCAAATTCATACTACTTTTGCACACAATAAAAATACAATAAATTTAAAAGTATGTATTACAAACCAACTAAGAAGCAAAAACCAATTTTCAATTGATTACTAATTGTATATAGCTTTGGTAGCATTATCTTCAATTATTTAATACTCTATTTAATTTAAATACAAATAATATGAACCATACTCTCATTTGAATATTAAAAACACACTAATTTGTTAATATCTAATGACTTAGTTTAAGTATTTCATAATAACTAGCAAAATACACAATTTTAATTTATATATATGTACATAACCAACTTAATAGCTAATATGTAATAAAGTTAAATGTCTGTAACTTATTTTAAAGGTACAAATAAGTTTAGTTTAAAATTGCAATTAATATATGATGTTATATGACAATTTGATCATTATATTCTTACATTAGGATATAAATGCTAAAAAATAAAAAATTGGATACACAAGTTAAAAAGGAATTGTTAAAACATTTAGAATTTAGTTACTTTTAACCACCAGAATTTGTAGTTTCATCATCTTCATCATCAAAACCAAAACAGTTTTCAACACCATCATCAATTTCTTCTTTAACTACAGTCAAAGACGCTGTTTTTAAAATTGTAAGATCCTTTTGACTTGGTGCTATATCAGAAATATAATGATAATTATATTAATTAAAATTAAAAAAAAATAAATAGATTAATACTTACTAGATTGACCAGCTTGTTGTACAGTTACACTTGTAGACGTGTAATTTTCCCGCTGATCTTGACCATCAAGTTGGATTACTTCAAGTACAACATACTGATGTCGTCCATCTCCGCTGTCTAATGTTACAACTTCAGATTTAGTTGATGGAATACTTGTATCTTCTTCCGATTCATCCTCGTTGGCTGAATCTGTATACTGTATCAAATTGATTTATTAATTATATTTAGTTTTTTCAAATTACTATTTTAATTTAATTTTACTGGACTAAATATGAATACAAATTGCACTATATACTTCTAATCGTTGTTTCATTGCTGTATTTCGGTCGTTACCAGTTGATTCTTGCATATGAACTTCCATGTGTCTCAATAAATTCCCCTTATGTCTGAATGATCGTTGACACGTATTACATTGGTGCGTTTTTTCATGTGGTGCTGGTGGTATGTATGCTGGATTATGATACAAATTGTGATGGCGACGCAACAATTGTTTTTGTCTAAAAGACTATCAAATTAAACAAAAATGTTTATTACCATAATACCAATCTTAATAAAAATAGTATGAAACATTCAAAATAATTTACTTGATCACATTGTTTACAGTGGAATGGTTTTTCATCTGTGTGTATTAACATATGAGTTTCAAGATGCCGTTGAGACATGGAAGCATAAGAACACAACTCACATTTATAACATTTCTCTCCTTCATGTGATTTACAATGTACCTTGAGTAAATATTTATTTGATAAATGTTTACAATTAATTTTAACTTATAATCTAATACCTTATATTGATAACGATCAGGAAATGCATCACCACATCGTTTGCACTTAATAGGTTTATCTGACGTATGAAGTTTTTGTACATGTATTCGTAAATCAGTTTTTCGTCCACAAGTCGCTGGACAGTGGTCACATTTAAACACTGGCTTTTCTCCTAAAATCATAATAATTATGTCTTAAATGCAGTTTAATTATCAGGTTATCATGTAAATTTAAAATTTACCACTGTGTATAAGTCTATGTGTTTTTAAACTATTGGATTGCGTAAATCTAGAAAAGCATATGTCACATTCATATGGTTTTTCGCCAGTATGAATTCGTAAATGGCGTTTTAATTTGAATGTATCTGGACTTGCATATGTGCAATGAGGGCACTAAAAAATATACACATTTATACTTATACATATACATATATAATGCATTGTAATTAAAAACCATTTATATAAATTGGTTTAAAAATAAATACTTGATAAGGTCGTTCACCAGTGTGACATCTCATGTGATTTCTCATTTTACTAAGTTCTACACTAGCATAATCACAAATAGTACATTTATGCGGTTTTTCGTGAGTGTGCTTATATCGAACGTGTCTTACAAGTTCACCTGTAATATATTAAGAAATTTCATTAAAATGTTTAATATATTATAAATAAAAAAACAAAACAATCAGGGTTGGTTATAACTATGGTGCAGATTATAATGTAAATAACATTATTTTTCTCAATGTCTTAAAATAATGCTTTTCAAATACAAAATGTAATTTTGATATTAAAGATAAAAATATGAAACATCTATTTTGCATTTTTAGATATATTAAGTAGACTGTTAAGATGTTTAAGGCACTTTTTCTCTTTTATACAAACTTCATAAAGTTATTAGAAAATTTGATCAAATTTATTTTGATTGCCTCCTACAAAAAAAAAAAATCATACTTCTATTTTAAAATGTATTATAGATTTACCGATTGTACCAGATAAATACAATGTCGGCTGCACCAAAGAAAATGATAAGCTATTTATCGAGTTGTAATGTAGACATACTGCACTACTTGCACTGTTGTATTTAGTAAATTTATATACGAAAAAAAAAAAGATTCAACATTTAAAATAATGTGTTAAAACATTTTTTTTTTTTTATTTAAGTGCATTAAATTGTACTTTTTAAGGTATTTTTCTTGTTTTTTTAGAGTATTTAAATCTGTACCCTAATTATAACTTTATATAGTTTAAATATAAAAGAAATATTAGACTATTCAATTAATTAGTTTATCAACCTGAAGTAGTAAAAGCACTTGGACAACTTCTACACTGATAAGGTTTTGTTCCTGTATGAGTGTTAACATGGTTTTGTAATGAAGTAAGAGTTTTGAAACCACGTTCACAAACAGTACATTTATGCGGACGTTCTTTAGAATGAGACTTCATATGCCGAGACAGCAAATATCTAAATGAAAAATATTAAAACATTTAAAATAATGTTAAGTGTATGTGAATAAATACTAACATGTAGTTATAAACTAAGAAAAAAACTAATAATTAGAGCTAAAAGTAATTTAAACTATACAAATATAATAATGTGATATACTTATGATTATTTAGATAATTTAAAGTGATTAATTTAAAAAATAATTATGCTTCATTTCAAGCAATAGATATTAAAGTACTACAAAAATTAAATTTTATTCTTTTAAAATTTAAAGATATTGAATAAATATTTGATTTGAATAGTTGCAATTGGTCACCAAATTCAAACAATATAAAGTTTATAATTTTAATAAGAGTATGCAATGGACCTTCTGTATAAAAACCATACAAATATTAAGGAACCACTAACACCATTGCCAAATATATTATACAATACTTTCAGTTCGAAAAAACAACCAAGTGTAATGCATGTGATGCATTTAATTGCAAATTACATTCTAAAAGACTCATTTTGGTTGTATATTATACATAGGCCTTCAAAATTATGTCTACAGTACTAACATTAAGCAAAAATATTGACACGAAGTTAAGTAAAAAATTTAAAAATAATTAATATTTTTCAATATTTGTTCCCTGTGAGAAGTACAGTATAAAAACATATAATATTACCTTTTACCAGTAGTATAATTACAATAATTACACATATGTTGTTGAGTAACAGTTTGTGACTTTTTTGGTACTAATTTAGGAATTATAGTTTTGTCATCTTCATCGCCAGATTCCTGAAAACAATAATTAGTTGGCAACAATAAATAAACAGCTCTTTTCTTAATAGCTTACTATAATATTGGATTTTGTTGATTGATTTCGATCTTCACCATCATTGAAATCATACACATTACTAGTATCAGGATCATCTGGATCTGGATCATCTTGAGATATTTCCATACTAACATTAGGAGATTCATCATCTTTATCATTTGGTTGTTTCACCACATATAGAACATAATTATTAGCTTCAGTGTCTGCTTGAACAAGAGTAACTGTTTGATAACCACCATCCCCCAAAGCCACTATCTAATGTTTCAAATATAGTTTTGTTATTTATTACACATTTGTTAATAAAATATGTTAATTTACTTGTGGAATGTCTTTTTTTAATTTTTCTTGACTAGGAAGAACAATTTGGGTAACACTTTCATTATTGTCAGCCATCATTTGTGCATCTTGTTCAGAGAGTCCTAATAACAAATATATTTGTATTCAAAAATGTGTTATAAATTATGATTAAATTAAATAATTTATAATTTAACTTACCTCCAACCATAACCATTTGCCCATCATTTGTAGTTGTTTGATAATAATATTGGACATTTTGATCAATATAATATGCATGTTCTACTGAATCAACATCTAAAATTGTTAATTTAAAAAACTAAATATGCATGCAAGTAGAAACACATAAAAATTAAAAACTAGCAAAAATAATACATACCAGTCGTCACTTGTGTAACATCATTTCCTTGAATTTCTTTATTAAATGAATCTAAATAATTTTGTATATCGGTAATATTTTCAGTTCCCGCAGATGTATCCTCAATCTTAATACGGTTTCCATCAATAGTCATTGTATTTTCTGGCTGTCCATCTATTACTAATAAATAATTATAGTTTATACAAATAATAAAAACATAATATTCAAAATAATATTGTACAATAAAACTATAACTTAAAATTAAATTTATACTTTGCTTGTTAAATAATTAATTATTCACACACTCCACAAACTTAAACCATAAAAACTCAAAACAATTTACCAATTAATAATATGGAAAACATGAAAATACATATTTTTTTTTATTAATTTTATTACCTATAGTTGTTCCCTCCGAAATCACATCACTTTCAGACATTGTTGGATTATCTTCAATTAAATACCTATAATAAAGTATCGGTTATTTTTTGAATCATAATATTAAATTATATAAATGTACATAGTTACTAAAGACTAACGGCAGTTAGGTATATTATTAAATATTTAAATTGCAGTACAAATATTTTATCGCCAGGAGGCAAGAATTGTCTATAGTGGTGTACTCAATGATTATTTGATAAGAATATTATACCACCGTTTCGATTACAAACAGTTAAAATTTTAAAAACATAATGTTAATAAATATTAAATACCTATAGCATTCAAAAAATCTGCAAAATATAGGTTCATTCTAATATAGTAAATACCTAACATTATTGACTATTGTTTTTCATGAGATAACATGAAAAAAAAAATTGTTTTAAAACATAATGTTTATTTCAGTTATGAATAAAAACCGATTATAGTCTGTACGGACGTCGGTATGCATATGGTGTATACCGTTTGAACAAAGAAAAAAAAAATGTACGTTCTGTTGTAATATTATTGATTAAACCCAAAACGTCGCGCGTCCTGCCGTTCTCCGAGGCAAGGTGGCTGATAACGACCACAAGAATCCACAATAAAACATCTATTTGTATTTGGTGGTCGTGTTCGTATTATATTATCATGAACAATATTACGACAATGGTTATCGATTGACGATAATTGCCGAGCACGGAATATCGGAGACATTTTCCGAGAATTACGATGGGGGAGGGAAAAAATACAAATAAGGAAAAAAACGATCGTAAAAACGACAATATCAATAGGCTAGAAAACACATAGAGCTGATCAAAAACATCGAATAAATGCAGGAGTTGCAGTAGTAAACTAGTATCTATATAGTACCTACAGTATTAGTAATGAAGTAGTCACAGGCCACAGTGGCGGTACAGTCGTATAATTTGGAATACCAAATAATAATTATGTATCGAAATAGATAAGACGACGCGGAAGTTTCTGAAACGAAACGTCCGCGGAACGCTGCCTATCGGGAATTAAGAAGAGACACAACAGTTCTACTTACACGTTTTGTACACAGGGGGCATTAACAGCAGCTAAACGTATTATTATAGTACTGTGGAGCTATGATATTCTATGAAAGCGCCGCCACACGGCAATCGTACATTTACGCGAGACGTTATTGTTGGTCACGGCCGCCACCGCCGCGCTGCTCATGAACACATCGCAATGACAACAAACGTGGATCACCGTTATCACCGTCGACCAAGGATTATGTTGCGACCGACGTCGTCGAGCATCGCGACACGTAAAATTCGATTCGATTATTAACTAATAACTACGGACTTACTCGATATCCGCAAGCTTCGGTCATGCGTGTCGTCCGTCGATCGTTCTCGACGGTGGCGGGGTAGTGTTCGCGTCGCCGTACTCGGTTCGTTGATAATGGAAGAAATTTTAGTTGACTACCACCGATCGCCGTAGTTATACGAATTTTAAAATATAATTATATTTTCATTACCGAAGTCCGGGAATCGATGGTAAGGGGCTGTTTAGGCGTTGGGCATGCAAAATTTCGGGGACATACAAACCGACGCCGTGGCCCGGAGATGCAATGGGTGGCACGGGTATTAAATAAAACGGTCGCCATTTTTCCATTCCTTTACAACATATTATTAACATCCGGTAATGACGGCTTACCTATCGCTTGCTGCCCATAAACTATCATAGGCTTGGACCACGGTTACCGCTTACCACCAAAGACATTCTAAACGTCAACAGTTTCCCGCGGGCTTTTATGAAATTGTACTATAATCGTCTATATTTAATTCATTTTTTCTAATATTATATCTATGATTAAACTTTAAGTGGCGATATTAATGTTCAATGGGGCTATGGAAAAAAAATTCATAATATCAAGTGACAAGCTTTTTAATATACTAGATAGCTACCTAATATAAACAATGTGGTGTGATATGTATATTATATTATAAATTTTAACTTTATGTGTAGTCGCTTGACAATATTTATTATTTAGCATTGGTATAGTTTAATCTCGAGATAACATACGACTACGAATTTACCGAACCGGAGCCTCTCAAAAACCAACTGGTGGAATTTCCAGATAGGTGATTACAGTAGACAAATGGTATAGCTTCTTTAGGTGGAGGAATTATAGTTGTCAATATGATTCTTATTGTGGGAGATCAGAATTCAAAATACTTTCACGGTACTTCCACCTGTGGTAAGAGACGATAATTTGTGTTGCGTCAGGTTGACAGCCGGTCAAGTGTTTTATGTGATAACAGTTTCAATGAGACTCTAAAGTAAGTTTTACAATTAATGAGTGATGAAGTTGGCTATGTGATATATAATTCAGAATATTGGTTAGGTTAGGTAAAAAAGTAGAATAGAGAATGAGTGTAGTAATCAATGGTCATAGATAATAGGGACAATAAGTAATTACGTCATAATCATAATTGATAAGGCGCTTAGTAATAAACAAAACCTTATCACAGTTCAGTCCATAAGAAATACATAAACATGGCATTATAATTTTTCCAATGTAGTTTTTTTCGTGTTTAAGTTTATTTCATAATCTTTTAACCATTAAAAATGAATAGTTCGCAATTTTTTACATAGGCCTTTTTTATAAATATTATTGTGATATGGTTTTGATTCTCTATACTATATAGATATAATAAATTATATTAAAACATTCTTGACAATGGTAGTTACTATGAGTGGAAACTATAAATAGTATAAATAGTAGTTTTAAATTTAACTCGCACATTTAACACATTCACAGTTTTTTCTGGTCAACAAACTTTCAACAAAAGTTCAGAAGTTTACTAAGTAATATCTACATTTTTAGTTTTTTTTTAACTTGTTATCGATTATTAAGATACATAAAATTATTGATTTTATTTTTACACCAAGCTTATTGCTAGAGGAGAAAATCATTTTGAGAGTGGAAATGTTCATATATGTAATTTTATTTTGGGAGTTTTGGCTGGAAATTTACATTTTAGTATGAAAAAAACTTAATAATGTGGAGGTAAACTAAATTTGTATTTACTAGTAGGTAGTATTATATTTGTAAACATTTTTATAAACTTTGTAAAGAGTTTAAACCGTTTTAACTATTACAGTAGACAAGTAGTAAATTAAAATTTTAAAAGAACAATTATAACATATTATGGAATATGGAAAGAACTACGATAAGAAAAATTATAACGAACAAAATATTTATGCGCAATGAACAATCAATTTTTAATAGTTAAAAGGTTAATAAATGAAGATACAAAAAAAACTAAATTCAAAAAATTTTGATTTAATGTCATGTATTTCGGCATAATTCTAGTTTAGCTATCACGCAATTTTTTTGGTTTTTTTTTTTCAATATGTTTTTGCGTGTACATTGAGAATGTAAAAAAAAAAGAGCTGATATTGGAGATGGGAATGGCCACTGTTGTAGGTAAGAAGTTGGGGAGGTAGGATACATAAGGTTATTTCATTTATATCTATAAGCAACGATAAACCGTTTCGAACGACGATTCCCCGAGCACATTTTGGTAATACATAATTTGAAGTATCATATTTTTTTTCCAATTTTCATTTAAATTTGATTTCAAAACGTTTATTAAACAAAAGTCATTTGATGATTTTGAAAATTTTACCACTTCTAGGTAAGTCCGATATAATTATTATTTTCAAGTTTTAAGTCTACGATTATTTATAATCGAATTGCAGCAAAAAACTCCCAAAAATTAAAATTCTTTAAAAGCTCAAAAGCTCAAAACCTTACCAACAATACAATATAGGGTTACCAACCTTAGGGTAGCATTATTCTACATTTGTTTAATTTGTCCTACATCCAACAATGCTTTAAACTTTATGTAGAGAAATCCTATATTTCAAATTTTAATAAGTTATAGTTTAAGATCTATGCAAATTTAACTTTTAATAGTTTATAGTTACATCTTTTGATTGTATCATTAATCAGTTATACACCTACTATAGTATATTAATTAAAGATAATAAATAATTATATACCAAATACCTAAACTTGTTAAATTTTCTAATTCAATTGACTATTCCATCATTATTTGTATTTAAGATTTAATTATTGTGCGAAAAATTATACCATGTTTTTAAAGAGAACATACTGTTTTCGCGACCAGTTTTTGTTTGGAGCGCACATCTGCACCAGGGGTAGCACCAGTCATGATCATAAGCATGTTGAACAAAAATTGGTCACAAAAGCGATACATTCTCTTTTGAAACGGTATAAATATTAATAGAATATAAATTATATTATATTATACATTATTTATAAATATTTTAAATATGTACCTACCTACCTATTCACTAACAATCTGCATATCTAATAAATTGTAAGAATGTAAGCTGAATTTTATTAGTAGAAAAAGTAATTAAAGATTAGAAAAAAGATATAAATAAAATGTAAAAGATTATTTGATAAGTTATATCTAGAAGTATACTGATTCTACTGAAAAAAAACTATTCTATATCAAACAATTTGAAAGTTGGCAACCCTAATGTCACACCCATAAGCAGTATCAATTCTTTTTTTTTTTTTTTAATATGTCGTGAATTCTAAAATTTATAAGGGTTGGTAACTGTTTTAATATTTAAATTCAATGTAAAATAAAATGTTATTATTTAGAAAACAAAAATCAATTAGTTTCATTAAATTATTTAATATAGAACAAAATTATTGAATTTTATTAGTTTGAATACATAAGTTTGTTTAGTTATTGTATGTATATAAATATATAATTAACATTTTACTAATAATTAACAATATTTTCTATACAAAATAATATTATCAGTCTTTATCTTTCAAAAATATAAATTAATACAAAACAATTAAAATCACTATTGTATGTATATATATATATATATATTTTTTTTTGTTTTAAACCGTTTTAATATAAATCAAACAAAACTACTTGTCAACTAGAATTTGTTTAATATTACTTATGATAATAAATAGCCAAAAAAAATCCAGTGGCAAACAAGCAAACTAACAGTATGAAATACAATGAACACTTAATATAATACATATTTTGACAAAGCATACGGTTAGATATTTCCAAATTAGCAACCTGAAATAAACAAAATTATAGGATATTAATTTGCATTATAATAATTTATTGTTACTAGAATTTGATAACCATATGGTTTTTAAAAATACATGATATTTAATTATATTTTTTCAAATTAACTAAATAATTACTAAAAGCATTGGTCTATACTCTACACAATAGACCATGAAATAGTAAATTTGACAAGCACTTGTGGAATGCCACTGTCAATAACCACTAGAATAGTCTATTAAAAATGCTTACAAACTTATAATAATTGATATATGGTAAATTATATAAAATTACAAAAGACAGATTTAAAGATTTTTATTTAAAAAAAAATAATAAAAATATTTGAAATTTAATTAAACTATCAGAGTTCAATGATGGTGATGTAGAAGAAATGCTGACAATATTAAATTAATAATTAGTTATCCCGGAATCCGTGAAATCATATTCTTCTGTAAAATGGTGGTACCACTTCCCCCTAAATGGGTATTAGGCAATAGATAAATGGAAAAATTGTATCATTGAGTATTAATAATAATTTTCAAATTTTACAAATTTATGAAAATTTGGAAAATCAGCCCGAAGACTAAATATCTCAAATATATATATTGTGCTTAAAACCTTTGAACAATTTTAAATAAAACTTTTTTTTGTAAGCTTTGATATACATTTACAATTAATTATAATATAAGCTAGTTAATTTGTAAAAACATATTACATAATAATATATTATAATTTTTGGTACTTTCCTGTTATCTTTACAAACAATATATTTCCAATTCTACCTAGTATATGGTTGGTTAACTAAAATTAACTATGAATATAAATTAACTCCCGTGTAAATACAATTTGATTTAAAAATAATTTAAAATAAAAAAATACATAAATTCAATATACAATTTAGGAAAATGTGGACATTCCCGCACTGTAATCTATATCATATAAAACAAAAAAATAAATAAACAATTGGATTTGATTTTCAGTTTTATGTAAAATTTAGAAATGTTGAATACTATTTACTGACAATTTTAACACATGCTACACAATTTTTTTTTCCACAAAAAAAATGTTTAACACAATTTATTCTTATATTTTTGTTTAGTAATATAATATGACATTTATCTGTGTGAATGTTTACTTTTTGTATTCAAATTAAATCCATTATCTTAATGTGGTAGCAGGGTAACAGGATTGATTATAGCTGGTAGGGTAGTCTTGGAAATATATTGGTAGTTGAGATAACAGTACCTAATTATTAAATAAAAAAAAATTTACCGTATTCATTAATTTTTCCACTTTTTGCTCCAGATTTTTATTATGAGTCTGGTCACAAGAATCCCAAAAATTCATATCTCCATTTTCATTTGAAATTTTGCATTTCAAAATATGTTGTTCCCTTGTTTCCCATTGTGTCTAACAGAAAGATTAAAAAATGTTTATGTTATATGAAAATATGAAGAACATATATACTAATGTAAATAATAAAAAATAGTAATAAAAATAGTATATTATAAATAATAGCTATACTATTTTAAAATAATTTTTTATGCTATAATTATTTTTACAAATATAAATTCTTATACCTTCCACAATTCTCCTAAATCCTTATTATCTGTAATAGGAATAGCTAATACTAAAAATTTATCTCTCATTACATCAGTCTGTTTTACTGCCATTCCATTTAACACAAATGAGACTTGTACACTCTCTTGAGGTGTAAGGACACCTGTGCTAGGACGAACTTTATACTTCACAAGACAAGTTGTTTTTATCTGGAAATTAGATTAAGTATAAAATGATACATTTATTTAAAACTTATATATTTTAATTACTTTGAAAGCAATTGGATCTTTATAATCATTCATAAAAGTAACATTTGCTATTACTTCATTATGTCCATTGTTATTATCTTTATTAAAAATAAGTACTTCATCAGGAATTATTTTTAATTTAACCTCTAAAATAATATATATTAATTATTTTACTTTAAAATTATAATTGTATTTTGGAAATTTACCTTTGGGCATATATACTATATCTCTAGTTTCTCCTGAAACATTCTTCACTTCCATTGTTTCAGCAAAATGAACCTAAACATAAAAGTGTACTGATAACTACAGTTTTCATTATAGACTAGTTGACTTTAGTTACATTATTTGCAGTAGCTTTAAAAACTAAAAAGGTTTATATTAATTATAATCAATAAATTTTAAACCTTTTTTTTAATTTCTTCCACTTTTTTCATTTCTGGTAAAAAACTGAAAGTATAACTATCTTCACCACCCCAACTAACTAAAGTAGATTGTTTTGGTACATATTCGTTTAAATTTTGTTTATTTAAGAATTTTATTTTTTTCACAGCTTTAGCTGGTAACCATGTTTGAATTATTCTAAAAGCCGCTAAATAATCACAAAAAAATGTAAAGCTCAATGTATGATTTGAATACAATAATTAAATTTATATGAACTTACCATTTAAAACCCAAGGCATTTCATAAATTATAATATAATTTAAAAATGCAGGATAATATATTTTAAGTAAATTAATTAAGTACTTTGTAAAGTCCATATCAAGATTACTTAAACCAGAACCCATCATATCAAAAAATATTGTAATTTGATCACCATTAGTTAATCTAGAACATGACAAGTATAATAACAAAAATATATTATTGACAAGATAAAACAAAAATACATTCCTTGCTTTGCTCAGAATCTAAAATACCTTTCCATTCTTTCAAACCAATACACAGCACACTTTTTACATTCCTCAGAATCTTTTAAATTTTTAAAATGCAATTTACATTTTATAATGAACATAAGTTTACCATCCTTATCAACTCCATAAGGAAACATTATACCCTCTTCTAAGTAATCTACTCTAACAGTGCCATTTGATTCACTCATTTCTAAAAAAAAAAATAACATTAAGTTAGACAATTTTAAATTATAATAAAATTATACTTTAAATTAATGTTTTAAACTCAAACTATAAATCTATTTACCATTAACACCAAAAGATTTCCTCCATTCGCACACATTCCATAACATTGATAATGCCTCTTCATGATTACCTTCATTATGAATCAAAAATCGTTTAAGCCATGAATCTGTATTATTTATTCTAGCAAGATCCAAAGGATGAAATACGCCTGTATTCACATGAAAACATAAATGTTTAAAAACTTAAATAAATAATATGCAAAATATTGTTAGAAAATAATAATGTATTCAGTTACCACATTGAGTCCACAATATTAAATACTAAATTATATAGACAATGAGTACAGAATAAAATATTTAATATTTTACCATTTTGTTTATCGAGTTTTTCTGCAAACAATCGTCTCAAAGCTGAAATACTGTCTGTAGAAATGTCCATACTTTTGAAATACAAAATATTGATTGGATAAAAAGTAATGGGGTAACTCCAATAACTCAAAATTAATAAATAACTACCGATTAAAGTCGATTTTTATGATTATGTATGGACAATTTAAATTTGTATTTTCGTCATACATAGTACATGCAAATACTGCCTACGATCTACCAATATTATATGATACAAATCACACATGTGTAGATTGTAGAAGTGTAGTTTCAACTCTTTAATCATACCTACTGCTATCACATAATAATTTCTGTGAATTAGAGATAAGGAGTCCAAGCTCCTATGGCCGCCTGTTGTAAAAATGAGACGACAAAAAGCGCATGTTTTCACCTATAGAAGCACGTCGTTTGATTAGAGAGCTTTACATTACCTATACTCATAGACCTTATACTATAGAGTAAGAATAATATACTTATACTAAGGTATAAGGTTTATGGTGACTTGTTAATTTTACGTGGTATTTTTGTGTATTATACCTACTACACATACAATGACAAAACTGAATTTACTGTACACCGCTGTGGTATGTCTGACTGATTACTCGTTACTACTTCAGTTACTTTATAGGCTAGGCTAGTCTATTAGGATTAATAAGGTCCATGCCTAAAATATATGATTTAATGAGGATTATGTACGTTTTAAATTTATTTTCAAATTAAAACTCAAAACTACATTAGATATCAAAAAATTACTTTCACTTTTACTTTAGTCAGTGGCTAAATATTCTAAGGAACAAAAAAGGTATCTTGACATTTTTTAATTAAGCCAATATTTCTGGTAGGAAACATCGTGTGCAAAAATTAAAAATACAAAATCGAGAACGTAGCGGTGCGTGTCGTTCGATTAAAGCCTGACCTTTTGACGTTTTACATTATACTAGCGCTTCCTTTGTTAATTTGTTGTCCTAAAAATTATAAAGTAATTGGAATTATGTACATTGTTTCTGGATTTTTCTAATTAAATATGAATAATATGACTTATAACTAGGTAGGTACTAACATATTATTTTCTCAAATTAACCAAATAAACCTAAGTAGATATTGATAAGACTAGAATTTAGACGATTATTATACAAAATTGTAATTGTAAGTACCTATAAATTAAAAACAAAAATAATTTATCAGTGTAGTGTACTAGTGTATATAAATAAATAGATAACTATAAAAAAAAAAAATGTTTGAATTAGTTTAGATAATTTTCTACTGCATTTCGTTTTTTCTGTTTTTTTAGCAGATTTCTTGTAATTTGAATGCTTTATAATAAAGTGCATACGCATTGTAATACAAAAGCGTATAATGGTTTTTGTCAATTACATATTTGTGTTGTATTTGTGAATGTCCTTTATCTAAAATCTAATCTAGTTCTTGGTTAATTCTTTGGGCTCGTTTATTACTATTGGTTATTTCTTTAATATTCAAAAGAGTATTTATCATATCTCCACCGGAAATATTAGAACCCTTTGGAGGCTTTACAAGTGAATATATGCTTAATAATCTATACATTTGAATAAAAAATAGCATCTATATGATCATTAGAATCGCATCATTGCAAAAAATCTTACAATATAATTATTATTTATTGTATTTAAAGTTTTAAATGTAATTTATTATATTCGTGAATATTTGATTTAAATAAAAATTTCGAATTATCACTGAACTATCCTAGTAGAGATCTCCTCTACATAGTCATTGTGACCGTCCCAATATTCGTGTTTGGAGTTTGGTTTTCTTATCTCTAATCTTCACATGACAAATCTGGGATATTAAGGGTACAGGGTAGTTGTCAGAAAATTGATAAGGATAGAGATACAATAATTTTTGTATTATAGGTGTTATCAACGAAAAAAAAAATAATAATTTGCCTATGCAATAATTTAATGCCTAATGCCCTTAAACCCTTGTATAATAAAATTATGTATAAATAAGTGAATAGTAGTTAATCAACTTTGGTTATTTATGATTATTCTTGATCGAGATTCGGAATGGATTCGAGTTAAAACTTTATTGCAATCATCACAAATTAATTTAGTTGTTAGTTTACGAACAATGAATGTTTAATAATACCAACAATTACTTACTGTAAAAAAGTAAATTGATTAGTACTCGTAAATTAATGTCTTTGTAATCGCTCGGATAGATGGGAACAATATTTTTAGATATTTTGGCTTTATTAACCCTAACCTGGCAATATGTAATCGTGATCAATAAAATGCTTCATTGTACAAAAAAGATTATAATATATATAACTATATATAGAAAAACTGCTATTATTGTAAATCGAAGAAAAAAACATTGTAAAATCAATGCATTCCTCGCTCCACTCAATCTAAAATGTAGTGAAGGAAGACATTTTGGGGAGGGGTATTGATCCCGTAATCCTATGTGCGCCACTGATCATATACAATGGATGGAGTCATCGCATATCACGCTTTTAGGATGAACTGGCGACTACCATGAACGTAATAGTAACAATAGGTTTTTATGCAACCCACTCTAAAGGAATTATTATTTAACACAATTGTAGAGCCTTCAGCCCAGACCTGTGACAGTGACTCATCTGCGTATGCGCGATTACTTATCAGTGATTTCCGGGTTCAAATTAAATTAAATTAAATTACGTATCACTAATTCTGAATTTACATAACATTATTGTATAAAATTACAAAATTTTCTTTTAATTTATATTGATTAATGATGATAAATAATAATGCCAACTAATTTCTATGTAGTACCTATTCTATTATTCTATGTAGCAATATTGCAGTTATAACTACACTAGTGTCTAGTACACTTTTATTATTGTTTTATAATTATGACTTTCATATTAATGCATTACAATATTATGTTTATAATATAAGAATTTTAGAAATTGAATAAACCTTTATTTTGTTCATTTAATATTTGTACCAAAAATTAACGATACAAGACTGTGCATATGTGCATATCACTGGGGTCCTACAGTTATGTTGGCGTCAAATGACTCCATTATACATGATCTAAGGTCAGACAGTTCAAATTAAGATACTACCATTGTGTTATAGTTTAAAAATGGAATAGGGTTAGTTAGCCTATGCATAGAGTTATTAACTACAAATACAATAGATAATAATAAAAGAAACATGTTGCATTTTTCTGGGACACTTATCTATCTTGTGCTCCATTTCATTATAAGTTACATAAACTTAGCACTTTAAACATACGTATTTCACATGGGAAGAACTAAGGAGCAATTATTTTGTAGATTTTAATTTATTTTTGTGCAAGTTAAAGAAATTAACAAAGTATTATTTACTTAAATATATAATCTAAAACATAAATAAAAATTAATAAAATAAAGTAAAAATAAATATAAATCACAATTCATAATGCTATAACATTATATAATGTTCCCAAAATGTTATAATATTCTAAAATCTAAAATATATATTTATATAAATAAAAAAAATGAACCCAAAAAGATTAAGTAATAATTATAAAATTTGAGTAGTTAAAAATATATTGGTGTTGGTAATTTCACTAATATGTTAAATTGACTAAATATATACTTAGTACTTAGATTATATAGGATCATATCTAATTAACAATTTAACCAAATAATAAAAATAATAAAATAATAAAGTAAACACAGGAACACCAGAAAAATATCCTAACACTAAACAAATTATTACTTTTTTTGTTCATCAATGTCAATAGTTTGCTCATCCATACTATAACCAGTAATGCTATCAGGGCTTTGTAACGAAGCATTGTACAATGGGTTAGCTATTTGTCTGTCACTAGCAGAAAAACGAGTATTGTTGTATATATTATCTGTCTGTAAAAAAAAAATCAGAAAATTTAATAATAATAGTTTTATATTTATTTATTAGTATTAAAATTATTATTATACAAATATTCATGTTTAAATTGAGTAATAAAGATTATATATGATGTTTTGTTTTAGATATTTCAATCAATGACATTATTAAGTATATACAGTGCAATTTTTTTATCATGAACAGGGATCGGGACATAGAGCATTTAAAATTGAATCCACAGAAAAATGGTTAAAAACATCAAGAGCCCTGAATTTTTTTTTAAAATCTTTATTACCTAAATTTTATAAATTTTTAAATGACAGTGGTATCAAGGGAGTTTAAAATTCTCACCCCCTCTCCATAATAGCTCTAACCATTACATGTAATGGTTACATTCTAACATGCTAACATCATTGTAAAATTATAAGCTTCTTTGCTTCACTCAGAAACTAAAATTTAAAATTAAACCTTAACAATTCTATATGATAAAAAAAAAAAAAATAAATAAAATCTACTTAAAATTCTGAGAAAATGTATGGTTCATAATAAAAAAAAATCAACCTGCATATGGGCATATTGATGGAAATTAATAAGAGTTTGGTCTGAAGTGTATTTAGGACTGTTAACAAGATTTAGTTAGTGGATTGATAATAGAGTTTAATTTTGATATGTTATTAATACAAAATATGCAAGGATAAATTAAAAACGTTTGCTTTTTATGCTACCTGCTGCATATTTGTTTGTTTGTTTTTGAACTTCAATTAATTAAAAATATTTATTATATACCTGATAAATATAGTCAGAATCAGTTTTCAAAGATGAAAAAGATGGCTGATGAGGTAATGACACAGTATCTTCTTCAATACGGTCATCATTCTGTGCTTTGTAAGAAAACATGATGCTTGATTGTGAAACACTAAAATAAAATAAACATAATTGCCAGGTTAAAGTTTTAACTAAAAGCTCTTAATATAAAAAACTGAAAAATAGACATCAATAAAAATCAAATTTTGTTTTCATTATTATCATTTACCTGAAAAATGTACTTAAGAATGTTATGTAGACTAGAGGTGTGAATAATGTAAAATACAGATATGTTGTTACATCAACAATACAAAGACCTTCTGTGATTTTTAGTAACAAAAATGTACAACCAATTGAACCAATACCATTTAACAATGCCAAAAGAGACACATACACATAAAATGACCGGTTAACTGAAAAAAAAAAAAATAAATGTTAATAAGAATTTGTTATAAATTTATCAATCAAAATATTGAGAAGACTGAAATAAATCACCATTAATTAAATAAGATATAACATACACATTTTAATTAATGTTAAACTATATCAAGCTTTTCTGTACACAAATAGAGAAACTGTATAGCATGTTAAATATATAGATATGCAATAATTTATCTTTGAGTACTAAAAACACTAATAAAACCTTTTTAACATATTATTTTAGTATTTACCTGGTAATGCAAGTTTTTCACGAAGTCTAGTCAGAGGTAATATCAATATGAGTAAGTATAACTATAAAATAAATAAAATGATTAATCCTTAATAAACAAGGCAATTTTTTTATTATAGACCTATTTAAAATATTACCATAGTAAAAATTACAGAACTAATTAACCAAAACACAACACCACCATGTCCAAATAAATTTAAATCTTTTGAATTGATCCTAAAAATTGAGTCAGGCATAAATATTTCTAAGGCTCCTTGACTAGCTGAATAAGCTAATGATATGAATGATGTTGTAATTAATACGTATCTTATACTACTTCTACTTTCCATATGACCTGGAAAATAAAAAGTTAGTACATACAATTTAATATTTATTTTACCAAATTAGTATGTCTGATGATAAATAAAACTGATAGTATAAAAAATGTTCACAAATAAAATCATACAAATAATATATAAGAATGTTTAACATTTAATATAACAAATATCAATTGATGAATGTAATATCAATATAAAAAGACTGACATACTTTGCACGATGGGTGGATCACTGTCATGGGTGAGAAGTTGGGAAAGTAGGATATAAAAGGAAGTTTAATGTATTTTTTTATGCAATGATTAAACATTGCTAATGAAAGACAATTCTGAGTGGATTTCAATATATATATGTTTTAAAGGCCGTAATATTTACGATTTAGTTATCCACAGTCCAATTTCCTGTTACTAATCATTTTTTGTATTTAGGCATACACTGAAATATTGGAATTCATTAACTTTCTATTCATAGGTCAATTCTTCAAGGATTTATTAGCTGCATTCTTCATATCATCTTTGGTGTTACCTATGATGTTAAGGTCTTCTGTGAAACCCAAAATTTAGATTTTACGCAGATTTGCATGTATTCCAGTTGCTTCTTTTTGCATCCCTCGAATGAAGTGTTAAACAATAACAGGGATAGCGTATTCTCTTGTTTTATTACTATTTCTGCCAAAAACGCTTCGATAGTTTAATCTACCATAATTCGGTATAGTGTTTTTTCGTATACACATTCTGGTCAATCCTATCAGATTCTTTGGTATTCCAAATTCGGTCATTATATTTCTTTTTTATGATTAGATCAATAACATAAGTCAATAGTTTACCTTCCTATCCTATGTTCTCTTCTATATAAGGAGTCATATAATTCAGCAGTATCTTTGAGAATACTTTATATAATGAATTTAAGTGTGATATCCATCTATAGTTTTCACACATTGTTTCGACGCCTTTTTTTATGTATAAGAATAATAACTAATTCTTTCTAGCTTTTATTAGGCATCTGTTTTTATTTCCATAACTTTTTATATATTTTGCAAACATTTTGAAAACTGCTTGGAAAATCAAAAAATCAGCTCCCTAAAGTACTAACCGAGGAAAATTTCCTTTTAGAAAAGGTGCTACATTTGAAAATCAGAACAAGATTACTGATAGAATTTTAAACAGTATAAAGAAAAATATCATTGTAAAACCAATACAATAAAAGAAAATACAATAATTAATGGACAAAAATACTAGAAGATCCATAAAGAAATAAATTGTGTAAGTGTGTATTGGCTAGGTACAGAGGTGTTATTTTGTGTATCGCTAATTAGGTTTTTATATAAAACAAATTACTATAATAAACATAGTTAAAAAATTAAATTTAGATAACCATCATAAGGAGTTGAGCTACAAAAGAGAAATGAGGTAATATGACTGATAAATATGCAAATATATCTTTTGGTTAGTTATTTGGATTATCTGGGTCTAACTTTTTTCAATTCTATGCCTTTTGAATTTAAAAAAGAAAAATACTTGGATGAAATTATTAATATTAAATGCTAGATACATAAATATTTATTTCTGGAATTAGATAATAAGTTGCTGAGATAATATCACCAACCTGTTTTAATATTGTTGATGTATATACAGCACATGATTTATTTTATTTATTCCTTTATCGTTAACATTTTTTATATAAAATAATCCTTTTTTTTTAGAATATTTTTTTTGTAATCTTAATTTTAAGTTTTTAAATTTGTTACATTTGTAGTATTGAATTTTAATATTAATATATGTTTTTTTTTTTTTTTTTTTTTATTTAAATAAAAGATTAATTGTACATAAATTGAATGTTATATTAGTAATAATTATAGCTCCCTATCTCCAACACAAGCAGCATACGTTTACAGGAGGTAGGTTAATCAATTCTGTAACTAATTGTTAATTTTGATCTGTAATATATGTTTTGTTTTGATTTCAATAAAAAACAGACAAAAAAAAAAAAAGGTGCATGTGTATTATTTTATACAAAAAATAATTTTGTGAGCAAAAACTTATGTTGCTCATTATATTTTTCAGAATTTTAAAAATATATAGACAAAGATATTCAAAAGTGAAATGATAATGAAAAAAAGAAAGAGCTTATATTGCTGACAGCTGGTCTATTACTGTTGTAAGAAGTTGGGATGGTAGGATACACAGAATTGTTTAAATTTGTAGACAACAATACATCATTGTGAATTAATTTATTCTGAGGAAATTTCAGTTATACATGTTTTAAAATATTGTGATTTTTATGATTTCCATAAAAATTTGAACTTTAAATGTTATAAAAAAAACTATTTTATTACACTGAATTTTTTTTTAACACTAAGTAAATCTTATAATGAACTTTGTGTAAAATTTCCAAGCATTCTTGTTTGGTCGAACAATTTATCCAAATAGTAAATAGCTCAAAAATATTAGCAGAATATTTTGAAAATTTGACCACATTTAAAATAGGCATTTATAAGTTTTTTGTCAAAATATTAGGACTATGAATATTTTGAACTGAATCACAACACAAAAGTAAAATTATAAAAATGAAATCTTTATTTCCTCTAACATTCCAGTTCTTTCTAAGTTTATTTTTTGCTTAATGATTAAGAAAACTACAAGGAAAATCAAAAAAACGACTTACTTATTCACCACTAGATTAAAAATTCAACAAAAGGTCTCGTGTCATTTTTCGATTGCAGTAATATTTCTGGTAGAAAACATAAAGCGTAAAAATTTAAAATAATGAAAACGTAACGCCGTAAATTTATTAGTTTTCATTTTTCATCTTTTTCCCAATTATTATGAAAACCCCTCGGAAAATTAAAAAAATACCTCCCCAATGCACCAAGTAGATAAAATTTCCTTTCAGAAAAGGTCCTAAACTTGATAAATTGGAGCAAGTTTTCTGTTCAAAAAATTGCTCACTGTAACAAAAAAACACGCTTCATAGTAAAATCAATATATCCCTCGTTTTCCTCCGAATCTAATAAAAATTGAGCAAAATCATTGAGTAAATGATAAAAATAATACTAAATATTATTAAAGACTTTGAATTATTATAAGTATAATAGAGTACTTACTGATATAGTTTTTATTTTATTTGTGCAACTAAAAGTAATTTAAATTTTTTGGATCTACCTGATTTATTTCCCAAACAAGTTTGAAAATATATTATAGTTAAACATAAAATATATTATATAAAAAAAATCAATTATCTTTTACATATACAAATTACTATAATGTTTATTGAAGGGGAAAAAAAATAGACAACAACAAATACATAATACTTTACAAGTTATAGAAATAATAATGTTCAGATGTATTTGTGATTTTTTTTAAATTAGATATCATTTAAAACTAATTTTGATGAATATTGAAAAATAATGCCAGTACTTTTTTGTATAGAGCCCTTTTTTTCAAAACCAAGATTGTTATGGAATAGTGAGCAGTCATTTGTAGATTGAGTCAATGTTTTGCTTATGCATTTATAGTTGATATAATTTACTTCCAAGGATTAAATAATAGAAAGCGGTAATACATTAGAAACATAGTAAAAATTTAAAAAATAATACTACATATATATCTCATTGTAGTTTATAAGAATTAATTATTTTAATTGACAGTTAAATTTAAATAAGTATTTATATTAATATTTACTTACCAAAAGCTAAAGCAAAGACAACTACACTCATTTCAGTAGCTAAAAAAAAACATTTGACCAAAAGCCAAAGAGTTATGTTGATGGAATCAGCAGCCAAATTACTGAAATTGAGAGTCATTGAAATCAGGCATCTAATTATACTTGTAAACACATTGAACAAAACCTAAAAATATATCATGTAAATAATTATAAGTTAAATATTAAATAATCATATAAGATTATATAAATGTTTATAATATAAGTAAAATATAATAAACACAACTTACCAAACAATAAAATGTAAAAAAAATTGGACTATTGGCAGCTCGTAGTTTTAATCTGGCACGACTAAACTTTGACACTAAGTATATCATGAATATTAAGTTAGGAATAAGTATTACTACATCCCATACTCGAACACTATAAAATAACAAGATTCAATAATAAGTAGATGCTTATTTAATATGATACAAAATAAAATTTATTTTTATTTTTAAGAAGAAAATTATAAATTCTATACAATTTGGATATTATGCATGTTAAGTAAATACTATATTATAAATAATAATATAAAATTGATTAAATATTAAAGCATAAGAATAATTAAACCTAATATGTGATTTTTACACAACTGAAATGAAATGAGTTTTTTTTTTTAATTGTAGGTGCACATTAAATTGTTTTAAAAGTTTAATTTACAATAAAATACATATTATAAAAATAGAAAATCAATAGAGCCAATAGAGGTGGATAATTATATATTTAAATTCAATTTTTAAACACTAATTATTATAAATAATATAATTAATTAACGTCATATTCATTTAAATTTACAAAACAAATAAGTCAGATAGTATTTTTGATTACAGGTATTGGATATTTTAAAATTGTTTAACTTATTTCTAATAAACAATTCTGCTTACTTAATATTTGGTATTTCCATGTAAAGAACTAGTTTACAAACATGTTCCTCATCTAATAAAGTATTGTTATTCCTCATATTGATTGGCAATTTATTTGTTTCTAATCTATGAGAACCATCCATGACTATTTATTGTTTTTTCGTATGTTACATTTTAAATAAAACTTAAATTATATAAGTTTACTTATTTTATTATTTTTTGAAACTGAAATTTGTATAATTATAGTGTTACTAAGCATGACTAATTCATATAATAAATGAAGTAGCTAATAGTTTCTTACATAATATGAATCAGGATTGATTTACTTAATTAGATCAATTTGTATTGTTATATTATCTAAGTTAATTTGAATGCATCGGCATAATTTCAATGGGCAAAATAATTTTTAATTATGAATAAAAAAACTTCTTTAGTTTGTTTTATTATAGTATTTTATTTAATTTAATAAAATAATTACACATATAACTGGTTTACCGGAATTCTATACAGATATAATAATTCACATTTTTTATAAATTTTACGGATTTCTCAAACATTGAACAACAAACTCACATAATGTTACTTTTATTGAACTAGATGTAAAATTATAAAAATATTATGTACTTTTGGTATCTTAAATCATGGTAAATAAACATAACCGTGTAACATACCGTAACCATATTTATTAATCGTAATCTCAAATCTTAAATTATTAATGATTACATTTTTGTTGATAAAGAAAATAGGATGTATTTAATACAGTGCTACCACAGAAAAAATTACTATTAGCAGAAAAAAATTCAGTTATATAAACTTTCTGTATATTTTAACGGACCATTAGTAATCTTCCAATTTCAGCTCTGTCAATGTTAACGACTCGTTAAAATATGTTATCATTAATTAATTATCACTTATCAATGCTTTACCCATTATTTTCCCAAATTAACAGCTGCACATACCATAGACATAATAATTAAATATTAACTACAGATATGTATATATATAAAACAATGTTGTTTTATATATATTCCTGTGATATTAACAGTTAATATATATATTAATAATTAACTAATATTAGTTAATATGTCTATGGCAAATATCATTGAACTATAAGATAACTGGAACACACACCACGTAATATTGCTCGAGCAAGCATGTTAAAAACAGATGGCGAATACTTTAGGTATATCTATCTCTGTTTAACATACGGCGCCAATGATAATTTTATTTTATATCGCTATGTGTCTAGTAAGAACTAATTGTATTTACTACTTATGCGGCTTGAATCATAACTGTTGAACTACGAGATATTTATTTATAATATTTATAACATAAATATATATATTATATTATCCTACTATAATATTATAAATGTGAAAGTTTGTGAGGATGTTTGTTGCTCTTTCACTTGTTACGGGCATCGGTTTATTCCCATTAAATTTTATAATATTATAATTTGTTTTCTAGAACATATAAGAAACAAGCTGTTCCACAATTTTATATTTGTGTTATTTCTTTAACTTTTATTTTCGGATGGTAAATCACTACCTGCTTTTGATTTTCAAAAGGCAAAATATATTAAAAATTCCACAAATAGACTGACTATTAGCTAAAATAAATTTTAGTGTTGAAATTTTTGATTTCCGTCGATCCGTTGACTAGATATTCCACTTTTAAGTTTGAGTTGGAGAAGAATAGTGGAGTATCATTTGTGTGGCGGTAAGACGCGCGGCGTTTTAATATGCACCACCACTCTCTACCCTAAACTTAAAAGTGGAATAACTCGTC